ACCGTACACTATAACCCCACATTACAAACTTGTTCTAGATTTGCTTTTATTGTTTTAGTTTTTCTTTGTAACTTCAAAGGAACTTGATCGACACCAAAATTTTCATGTAATGTTTACATTCTAAGTTCTTTATAAATTTTTCAACTTATATATACACAAAAGAAAATACCAAAATATGTAAAAGAGTTATAACTTATAACACAATAATCTACATATGAAATTACCATTGTTTTCTTTTGATTTCCACAACACTTGTTTCCTCACTTAAATTTATTCAAAATATAAACCAAAGATAAGGTATAGAACATAATAAAGTCAAAATCCTTTCAAGATGATAGAACATCCCAAGATGTGCGCTTATCATCCTTTTCCATTTAATTTTCTTAGACATTCCTTAATGTCCATGTCAAAGTCAAAATGCTTTTACAAACATTAGAGTAACTTTTTGGCTTACAGTAGGGTAAGGCCACTTATAAATAAGTAATGAAATATGGAGTAGAGCTTGTCTTGCTTCACTCCGTATCTTAATTTCCTTTCTTTGAGAACGCTACCTTTTAAAAAACTGATATGGCTTCCATTTGTGAAAATGTCTGAAACTGATATGGCTTCCATTTGTGAAAATGTCTGAAACTGATATGGCTTCCACATATTTTTCCCACCTTGTGATATCTCATCGCCACCACTCATTCTACACAAAAAATGGACAGTCAGTCGATAACATTTAGGACGTAAGATGAACTAAACATATTGCTGAATGGTTTGTATTGATTTAGTAGACAATACTAAAGAAAAAATCATGTCCATGAAAACAGTAAATTATTTGTAACTCTAGAGTTAGAACTGAATTAAAGCTTTACCTTTGATACATGCAAGAAACTTTATTACCCAAATAAAGAAGAAGAACAAACAAAGGCTGCAGTGCAACATAGGTTATATTGTACGTAACAACATTCATACAACATAAAACAAAGCTACCTATGCTAAATCATAAACAAATTTACAATTGTAAATAGATTCTCATTTTAGACCTAAAAATCTCAAAATGTGTACTAACTATAGAGAGTCAACATAATACGCTGCATATATTTAATTTGTTTTCTTGAGTCATAAGAATAAAAAATACTCTCACACATCTACAATTGGAGTCATACAAACCAGACATTTTCTACTATTCCACTGAAGCTCATGGCCACGTTTCAGACATTTGCACATACATCACATCTGCAAAACAAAACCATGGTGACCACATTTTTTAGTTCGAGCATTCTTCTTTGAAACTATTTGATATGTTCTCTGTGATCACATATCATCTTTATATTCTATGTGAAACATACATTTTTTACTTCACTAACACGTAACTTGGCTGACCGAAGAAAAAAACAGTACAAAGCAAAGACTAACTTGCAGAGGAAGTATTCTGATGATCCTAAAATTATAGATGCGATTTCATGATCTTTGAAACGCCACGTGATCACTATACTCTTACCTGAGTATTGGCTAAAACTATTACTTACCTATTTGTTGTGTATAGATGATGAGAAGATTTGATTAAGCGAGTATGAGTTGTTGTTTCGTCTTCTCCAACTTATATGCACGATGCAACCTTGCAATTTCTTTATGTGGTTGTAGCTGTTCTATTGAAACAGAGAAGATATAGATATTGAAACAATATTGTAATCGAATTTGCTCAGTAATGTCTCCTCAGAGTTCATTGTAAATTACGTTCCAATAAACATGTTACGTTACCTGCCAAACAGAAGAGAGATCATCAGTAATAACTAATACGCGTTTCAATAAACAATAAACATGTTATATGCTCAAGTAATCTGTGATAGCACATGTACACATCTCGAATACACATCTCCAATACTAAACATTCTAACAACCACATATTATAATTCTTCCTCATCTTCGTCTTCCAATTCACTATACATCCATGGGCATCGTCATGTTTAAGTTTTTTGTTTCCCAAATATACCCTACATACCACCTCCCCGATTTCAAACTCAGCATATTCATGTCGGATATTCTCCACCTCCATTGCCCGTCCTTATAAGAGAGAGATTGGATATTATCTTGTAAACTTCATAACCACACATAACATAGCAATAGAGTATATAATCAAATATTCTTCTTGCTGCGTAGCTCTAGCCTCACTAATCTAACAACCGCTAATAATCTTTCCAGCAAACCTTTAGCCCATCCGATGAAACCCTAACTTCAATTCTTCTCCAATCAATTTTTAAAAGAGCTTAGAGATCTAAGGGAGAGGACGTGCGGCAGCCGATTTAGGTTGTTTGAAGAGTAGTGCTCTAATATATATAGAAATTAAGAATGTAGGGTTTGAAGTTTTTGTGTTTAGGATTAGGATTAAAAAAAAAGGAAAATTTAAATATTTATTTCCTTTTTATTTTTCTTTCTAAAATTTATAATTTCTTCCAAAAATATGGCGCGGAATATGGTAGTTAGACTTTTTATCTACAAATATTTAAGTAAAAAATCAAATTCGTTTTTAAAAAAATAATAAGAAAATTGGAAGATTTATTCAAGATTTTCATTAAGGGTAATTATGTAATTCCGAGGCTGAGAGTTAACGTGGTGCCTCCATTCAAAATTCTGACTTTGCAAATAATAGTATATCATTCGGGTTTTAGATATTTGGTTAATTTGAGGATAAAAGAATATAAGTAAAATATAAGAAAAACTTAAGGAAAAGATAAGCAAACTATAAGAAAAATATATATATATCTATATAGAAAAAATGTAAACATACTCTAATTACTAGTATATATAAATCCATTAAGTACCTTCCTCAGGTCCCATAAAAACCTTAAGAGAAAAATAGACCAGTCTCCCAATAAAAATCAAACATTGTCTCCGTAATTATGTACCATACAAAAAAACAATTGGTATCCGTCACAAACTAAATTAAATGTCCACTGTCCACATTATAAACGATTTAATTCTAAAAGTGAACTGAAAATGATGAGTTCTATAACGAAATTTTTGATACATACAGAAAGTTAGTAATGGTCAATTCAAACGTTCGCCACATGGTACAGTAACAAATTAAAAATTAAAAGAATATACGATTTGCGGCGCCTAATTCTCCTAAAGCTATATAGAATTCTAACGTCAATGGATTTTGGATCTTCTGAGATGCGTTCGATACCAACAGGTGTTGGTCTGGTTCGGCTACCATTCTTCCTGACGGTAAACCGGTTAGTCTCTATACCGGAATCGACTCTAAGAACCAACAAGTCCAAATTATAGCCTAACATAGGCAAAACAATGAAACATTATCAAAATGACAAAAGTAATATAATTTGTTAATACATACGTTTCAAGTCATTTTCTTATTATTGGAGCCTCATACGATTGTTCGTCAAATAATTCCCTCTGTTGTCGTCTTTTACAACATAATATGTCCTTCTCCTAATATGCGATAAAGTAACGGGTTTGGTTCGCATGGTCTCGAAACCATGGGATTGGCCGCACCTTTTTGCTACCTAATTGTTTTAATTGTGGAGACGTTACATATTTTCAGAATCCTATTTTGTTCTTTTTTCTCATTTGTAAATAGTTTTCCCGTATTGATTAAGTGCTGATGCCGGAAACTACTACTTCCTCCGTTCCTGTATGTTTCGAAATATGTTTTGTTTGAAAACTTTATACTGTATGTTGTTATTTCTTAGGTGTGATAAATCTCAACCATTTTAACTATTTAGAAATAAATGGAACGAATGGAGTATATTAAATTAGTCAATAACAATGTGTTTTTTCCAAAGAAGAAGAAGAAAAAGTGGTCTATAATCTCCAAATGTATATGGTTCACATGATATTGTATGTAAGTATTAGTCGTTTTCAATGCATTAATGCAATTAAATTTGGCAATCTAACTTACTATAGCAGTGAGGACTGAGGAGGATGGGACCAATACATTCGTTTAAAGAAAGTCATTTAAATTTGGCAATAAAGGGGATATATTTTGTCCTTGACAAATCCAGAAATTAAACCTCAAACTTGATGAGGAATGGAGCACAGAAGAAGAAACCTATATTAGATGCTCTCATGTTAGTTGTGAGAATTCACTACTTCAGTCTAGTTGAAAATAAATTTAAACTTAGCCCGTTGATAAACCTTGGATAACCATTTGATTAACGTTTGAAACCATTTCAGAACTCTACATTACCTCTCTTACTTTTATCAACAAAAAAACTCTCCATTACATATTATACAGATAGAATCACAAAATAAGTTTATTGAATTTCTTCCTAGTGCAGTCACAGTATTGTTTCCATATTTGGAAAACATTTATGGACATTAATTTCACCGATATTTCGTATTAATTACTCCCACCAATATTACTGATTTACTTCTCTACTTGTCTTTATTCTAAAAACGGCCTTACACTTGTGTGTGTTGTTTTTCTGTTCGGTTCTTTTTCTGAATATAATGATGGTGTTCCAATTATTTAATTTGTTATCTTATAGATAAAACTTTATCACAGTATATATTAGAAAACAATATACATATATACTATATGTGTGAAAATACATATGAATAAACCGTAAACGCGAACGTGAAATCAACCTAACTGGTCACATTATATATGCATATGTTGCTTTATCCATTCCATGTCTTGTACTTCTCAATCAACTGTCCTACTTCGCTCCTACCTATAACCATTTATTGAACCTAACCGGTTCACTACTTTTCTGTATACCAAATGCGAGATTTCAATTCCAAGATACTACAGGCTGTAGTCTACAGCTGATATTGAAAGAAAAAGTTGGCTAGAGGATAAGTCTAATAACCGATCGGTTAAACCAATTTTGTGTTTGTTTTTACTGTTTCCGTTGAGATTATAAATGTCACGGGCCCTTGCTTCAGCTTCCTATATATACATGCTTTTCAAGTGCAAATTCACAAGTCATCCTCTCTTTAATTGCCGATATTGATTAATTCATATTCTACAAAAGAAGAAAGAAAACCAAGAGATGACAGTGATGAAACCAAAGAGCCAAGCTGCCGCTTATGCATCATGTTTTCTTGTCATGAGCTTGTTGTGTGGCTGCATTAGTGGCGACCAAACGGAGAATAGTTTTGAAGGCTTATCTTACAACTACTACGAGAAAACATGTCCAAAAGTCGAAGAGATCGTGAGATCTTCACTTTCACCAATGTTTGTACTTGATCCTACTTCTCCCGCAGCTTTGCTTAGGCTTATGTTTCACGACTGCCAAGTTCAGGTTCTCCATCTCTACCTATTTCCATCTCTCTCTAAAACATTCTCAATTATGGCTTTCAATTCTTGTCAACTCAAAAGGATTTTGTTTGAAAAGTGTTACTTAATTATGTTAAAGTTTCGATTTAAACTTTAAGTGAAAAATTTAAATATTACTATAGTTATATATAGTATGTACGATGCGATGCCGTATATAAAGATGCCAGAACAAGACATTCGTACCGTACATGATTCTATGATAGTATGATATACTCCTATATGGGTATATCTTTAGATTTTTCTAACATGAATTTGAGCGCTTTTTTCTATTTATTTACTTATTTGTTTGATTATGTTTATAAGTATACGAACAAAAATTGAAATAATTCTATATGATTGCATATTTTTGTTGCAACCTATTTAATATAGTTTGCATGCGATCGATAAATCGAGAAGACAACAAGACACGGAAAATTTGCTAAGACCACTTTAATTAGTTAAACATGTGACGGTCCATTTTGGGACTATATAGAGAAAGCATGTAGTATCTTTTCTGTCATGTCATTTATAACACGGGAATACTGGTACTCTGACTATATTTATTAGCTTGAACTACATAGCAAAATCATTTTCATTAGTCGGATAATACCCAAAAAAAAAATTAATAAATTGATGTGGTCTAGTAATTTGGAGATCAAAATGTCAATCTATGTAATCTCACGAGAAAATAGTATATTAAAACTATGTACAAGCATGAAAATTCACATTTTTCTTATACAAGCCACCATTTGTTTGTGTCCATATATAGTTTTCTTGAGAGATCGAGAGACTACGTATTACATCATTTCTATTTGGTACTAATTATTACATCTCATTAATTATTTGATACTGCATATGCATTCACAGGGTTGTGACGCATCGATCCTAATCGAGCCAAGTGGGGACCAACACCAACAGTTCACGGAGCTTGACTCAGCCAAGAACTTCGGAATCAGAAAGAGGGAACTCATTGGCGAAATCAAAACCTCGCTGGAGACCGAGTGTCCCAAACAAGTCTCTTGCTCTGACATCATCATCCTCGCCGCTAGAGACGCCGTCGCTCTCACGGGTGGCCCACTCATCGCCGTGCCCTTAGGAAGAAAAGACTCTCTCTCCACTCCTAGCAAACACGTGGCAGACTCTGAGCTCCCTCCCTCCACTGCTGACGTCGACTCTATCTTAAGTCTCTTTGCTGGCAAAGCCATGACCGTCGAAGAGTCCGTCGCCATTATGGGTATTTTATCTTCTTTTATTTTTATAAAATATATGAGTTTAATTGCGTATTTATTTCGTATAACATAAGACTTCTGGTCCATTTAATTTTCATATAATGTAACATTTTGTTTTTGTAGGTGCACACACATTAGGAGTTACACACTGCAATAACGTATTATCACGTTTCGAAAACGAAAACGCGACAAGCGCGAACATGGATCCACGTTTCCAAACGTTTTTGCGAGTTGTATGCCCAGAGTTTTCTCCATCCTCCAAAACTGCGGAAGCCACGTTTGTTCCCAACGACCAGACTTCGGTGATCTTCGACACAGCTTATTACGATGATGCCATTGCTGGACGTGGCAACCTCAGAATCGATTCGGAGATTGGAGCCGACCCACGCACACGCCAGTTTGTGGAAGCGTTTGCGGCTGATCAGGACCGTTTCTTTAACGCATTTGCTTCCGCGTTTGTAAAATTGTCGTCTTACAAGGTGTTAACTGGGGATAATGGAGTGGTTAGAAGCGTGTGTGACAAGGTAGATTGATGTATGTTTATAATCATCATTCATCAATTGTTAAATCAAATGACGTTATAATTCTAATTAGAAAGACATAGTGTTACACTATGTTTCATAATAGTGTACTCATCAATCTGTTTTACATTTTAAACATCATTGATGTAAACATATGTCTTTCTAATTAGAAATTTTCTTACATAAAAGACATAGTGTTACAACGTTAGTGTAAAATATATGAAAATACTGTATTGCAAATTCATCGTAAGTTACTTAACAATATGAGACTGATACCAAATCACTTATAATATGAGATATTATAGAAACTATATATGTATAACAATTCTTACTAAAATAAAAAATATGATTATGTAAATTCAGTTGATTAAGAGAGATTAATCATAATCAGTTTACAAGGGTAGTGCACAAATAAACAACCCTCCACATTCCTCTAGTAATAGCTTTGAAGCTATATGTCCCATGTCGAAAAGTCTTTACCGAATGTATATCTCGCTTTAATGATAGAAAAAAATGGAGAAGACAGACCTTTTTTTATAATTTATTTCGACTATAAGATGAGATTACTAAAAGGAGCATCAAAATCATATGAATATATGTCTACTAACAATAAAATTTTGTATTAATTTACCATTTTTATTTTTATTTTTTATTTTTAAATAATACTGTATGTAACCATGCTATCGAACATTTTTCTGATCTTTTCAAAACTTACTACAATCAAGTTTATGATTGTTTAGTGAAGCTATAGTGTTTTGTGTTATTATTTGGGCCAACAATTGTATAGTGCAAGGTTAAGAAAATGGTCGGGACAGCTAAGGAAAATCGCTCTCCTCGATCAGACAAACAATTACAAGCGCGAATTTCCTTGTTCCTCTTCAACCGGACAGGACACGTCCGTCATCGTCTTCTGCTAACCTGCGCCTCAACACTTTTATCATGCGCTTCCCTCCTATCCTACGCATCTTCCCTTCCATTAAGACCTAGGGTTTTCTCTCTCCCTCTCTCTCTGTCTCTCTCTCTCCCATCATTCTCTCCCGATCTATATCCATTTCGTTCATCACCCCCAATCCCGCTCAATTTCTTATTTGAAATCGAAACCCTAAGGGAGTCTTACGGTTCCGGGAGAGGGTTTTGGGGTTAGGGGGTGGGTTTCTGAGAGATGTTGAATGTCAGGTTCATTGATGAATCTGTTTTCTCTCTGCTTCAAGCCGTTCGGGCACATATGCGATAATTCCGAGGCTGGATCGGGCGGCGTTTCATCAGGCGGCGAAGGCAAAGACGGACTCCTCTGGTTCCGTGATCTCGGCAAATACTCCGCCGGAGAATTCTCCATGGCTGTCATTCAAGCCAATCAGGTACTCGAAGACCAGAGCCAGATCGAATCCGGTAATTTCGGCACTTTCGTCGGCGTCTATGACGGCCACGGTGGCCCTGAAGCTGCCCGCTACGTCTGCGATAATCTCTTCAACCATTTCCGAGGTTCGTCGTTATCTTGCTATCGCCATACGTGTTCAATCCGATTCCTTCATTTCCATTCGAGCTTTGAGTAAATTGAATTGGGTTTTTTGGGGAAATAGACGAATCCGTTGACTAAATTCTGAAACTTTTGTTGTGAAGATGGTGATGGTCAACAAAGTTAGGTACTTTTGACCTTTTCATCTCTTTGGGGATAATTAGGTTTCCACTGTGCTCAATACAAGTCTCTCTGTTGTATATTATTGAAGCTACAGTCTTTTGGGCACACTAGTCAGGCTTTATGGGACTCGTTGCATTTCGCATTCGTGGTTCTTCGAGAATGTTCTTTGCTCCATTCTGTGTGCTTTGCCTTCTCTTTGTTGTTGTCTCATTGGCTCTTGCATTGATGGTGGAGTAATCTAGGAGTGCACTGTACATTTATGAGCCTCTCTTATGTTGGGATTGCTTAGGCTTTATGATTATGCAGAGATAGCAGCGGAGACGCAAGGAGTTGTGACGAGGGAGACGATAGAAAGAGCCTTTCACGCGACGGAAGAAGGATTCGCTTCGATCGTGTCAGAGCTGTGGAGTGAGATACCGAATTTGGCAACTGTTGGCACTTGCTGTTTAGTTGGAGTGATATATCAGAATACGCTCTTTGTGGCGAGCCTCGGGGATTCACGGGTTGTTCTAGGAAAGAAAAGCAACTGTGGAGGGGTCTCTGCTATGCAGCTGTCGAGTGAACACAATGCCAACAACGAGGATATCCGTTGGGAACTTAAGGACTTGCATCCTGATGACTCGCAGATCGTTGTGTTTAGGCATGGAGTTTGGAGAGTCAAGGGCATCATTCAGGTAGCTTCTCCTTCTTTCACCAGTTTTTCTCTGCTGCGTTAAGTTCTAAAAAAGAAAATGAGAGCCAAACTTAGACGTAACTAGGGACATGTTCTAGTAGCTTTCATTGCAAACATCATTTGCACCTGCATTTTAGTACTATCATAGATTACTAGAATTTAGTGCTTAAGAAAGCTGATTCAGTTGGTTTTTGTTTGGTTGATACTTCTGGCTTCTTATGCTTCTCACTTCAGAGATAGATATAGTACTTTAAGTGGTTTGTCTTTCTTTTCTAAGTTATTGAAAACTCCGTTAGAGGTTTAAGAAATTTAAATCCTTGGTGTTTGCCTGTTTCTTTGACTCAAAACAATGAATCACCATTTTGAAAAAAAATTGGCAAGTAATGAGGCAGTTTATAAGAAGGGTTTCTGATGAACACCATACATTTGCCCTAAACAAGCTAATATTTACAGCTTGCCATCTTTACCATGTAGCTCAGGCAACGAAGTAATATTTGCTAGTAAGTACTCGTTATAATGATTTCAGTTTTGGTTATAGGTTTCGAGGTCTATAGGAGATATGTACATGAAACGGCAAGAGTTTAACAGGCCGCCAATCAACCAGAAGTTCAGAATTGCAGAGCCAATGAAGAGACCGTTGATGTCTGCAACCCCGACCATACTCGCTCATCCTCTGCACCCTAATGATTTGTTCCTCATTTTTGCATCCGATGGACTCTGGGAACATTTGAGCAACGAAAAGGCAGTTGAGATTGTTCATAGCCATCCCCGCGCAGTAAGTTTCTAGTGTAACTTGGTTGACTTGCTGTGATCGATAGTTTCCGCAGTTCCTGACATTAGGGATTCGAATTTAAGGTCTCTTGATTGCATCCGGTTTTGGCTTTTTGGTCTGGATAGGTTTTAGATGGGAGTTAAGTCATTACAAGTCTTTTAGATGTATTATTGATCTTCTTGTGTTCTCTCTCTCTCTCTCTCTCTCTCTCTCTCTCTCTCTCTCTCTCTCTCTCTCTCTCTCTGTGCCTCTCTTCAGGGAAGTGCAAAGAGGCTAATAAAGGCGGCTCTTCAGGAGGCAGCGAGGAAACGTGAGATGAGATATTCTGATCTAAGGAAGATTGACAAGAAAGTGAGACGCCATTTTCATGATGACATCACAGTTATAGTTGTGTTCCTGAACCATGACCTCATCTCCAGAGGCCACTACAACTCAACCCAAGACTCACCACCACTCTCTGTCCGGAGTGCTCTTGAACACTGAAACCATTTAAAACAAAAAAACAAAACAAAAAATTACAAGAACATGTTAAAAGTGTTTTTTCCTTCTTCTTACTTGGTTATATGACATTTGCCTAGAAGGTAATAAAAAACTGGGCAATATCTGGGAAAGAAACGAAAACGACAACGTACGTAATGAGTTCTGTTGTATTAAACGGCTATGTTTGACAGTTCGACTCTACTTTTCTCTTCAAGTCTGCATAGTTTTGTTCTGATGACAACGACTGCGTGCCGTTTTCCTTGTGTTCCGATGTTTTATTTATCACGCGTCCGGGTCGTGACTGTATTTCTGTAACATAGACGTGTTACTAAAACCATATGGATATGTAACTTCTCTTATTTCTAATAAAAAGGTGTGATACAGTATATTTTTGTAGACACAGTGAAAATGCTTGTATTTTGATTTGAAGTTTACTCTGCTGGTATATTAACTTAAATCTCTCCTCATTTAAAGAAGAAGACTTTCGAATTTATTTTTGTATTATATATGCTATGAGGTGATGTCAACATGTGTTCTATCAAGTATTTAACATTCTTTCCCATTCAGCATACTTGGATGTACTACTTTACGGTAGACAATATTGCCGATAGATATTGGTCATGGCAAGTGTAACATTCAGAATTTGCCATAGATTAATTATGTAATCATTACACCAGGTTTCAGAACATTTTCGGGGTGGTCAATTACATCCTTAATTCTTAAGACATTCACATGTTTCGTCAAAGAGAAGAATTCGTCTTGTATATGCATTGGGAAGTTCACTTAGATAGGTAGTGTTAAGCTGATGCTGTTTTAGGGATATGCATATAAACAACAGAGCACAAACATTATCAGTACAATACTGAAAAGTTTGTAGTTTTTATAAAACAAAATGGAAATTAAAAAATGGAATCAGATTAAGCTTTCTAGGCTGCGTTATGCATCAAAAAGAAGTCGACTGTCAAATCAACAACTCAGAGCCCAGTGCATATTCATCATCTTCTCTAGCTTAACATCAAATTGCGATTAGGCGCAAAAACATTCAATTTTAGAAACACATAAAAATTAGACAAGGATCCTCAGTGTGTAAGTGCTTATAGCTTTTCATCAATAATGAATCAGGTCTCAAAGATTTTAATGCCATCATAGGATCCTTAAAAGTTGCAAAATTCGCAAAATTGAATAAAGACGAGCTCAAAAATACGATTCATACGACTCAACCAATCGAAACACGTAATAACAGGATTTTAAATAGATTAAATCTAGCACAAGCTTATTCGCTATGCCTGTTTCACATAAGCAAAGCGACTCAACGCCCATGCGAAAATTTAACGCCTCTCCTCAAAAATCGATGAAAGAATCATCCAATAGACATCAAAATTCTACAGGAAAATCAATCCAAGAGGCGAAACCTATCAGTTCAAAAACGATTTGAAGAAGATAAACAGAGAGACAAAAACATGATCAAACAGATACTATCGAGAGAGTAAGATCGAATGTTGAGGCATCGCCGAAACCCGAAAGTGTCCGTATATATATACTCTAACAATTTAGGGATTAGGGTTTTTCGCGGCGTGAACATCAAACAAAATGGGTCTTATCTTAATTATAGATTAATGGGCCTTTTCTTCACACTATAGGCCTGTCTAAGAAAACCCATAACTTTTCATAGTCCACTTGAAAATTAATTTTTGGTCCGTCTCTATTTTCAAACATCACAGAAGCTAAGCTGATTCAAACTTTTTTTCTGTCAACCTGATCGAAACTTCTAAAAGTGAAATGAGTATATAAAAATGACATATTATAAATCTTATTAGTTACGTTCAAATGACATGGATCGTACGAGTTCGACCTTGCTCTTTTCCTTATCAAAATCAAACTTAAAACAGTTAAAAACTAGAAATCAAAATACTACACACACTTACACAATATTTGAATTTTATGTAACTCGTAAATTTCAAACAAATCACAAATGTCTCTTCTTCTTTCTTTTTTCAGAATGGTTTTGTGATCACAAATATCTCTTCTTCTTTCTTTTTTTTTTCAGAGTGATTTGTGATAAGGAGTTAGGATAACAATAATTATTTAATACAACAGGATTAGATAGTGCACATCACATGGGGGGGAAGAAGGAGAACGACAGTAAAATTTAATTTCATGTATAAAAATGCGATTCTTTGCTCTTCCCTTTGTTTCTTAAAACAAATAAAAAAAGATTCCTCTTCCTCTCTCCACACCCTTTCTGACACCTCATCTCTCTCTCAATCTCTCTCTCTCTCCCCTCCCACCTTCTCCGTTCCGTTCCGTTCTCCATCTCCTCCGAAAAAGGTAAAATTATCACCTTAATCTTCTCCTAATCATCTCTCGATTTATCACTCTCTAATCTCTTTCCCGTTTATTCTTCTCTGGTTTTTCGATTCCTGTGTTCAGATCCTCGATTCGGATCCAACAGTTTCTATCTGATTCCGATTCTGATCTGATCGGTAGTTTTGAATTAGATAAAAAATCGAAAACCGAAACTCTCTGGTATTTGATCGGCGATGATAACTCCGGTATCGAATCAGGTGCTTCAGCCGACGACGACTACGAGCTCCAATTCCGATCGCTCTCGCCGAAAGCGGAGGAAGAAGTCTCCGCCAGCGCTAGTTTCGTCTCCGTCTCCATCGACGTCGTTGCAGAAATGGAGATCGGAGAAGCAACAGCAGATCTACTCGACGAAGCTGGTTCGTGCTCTAAGGGAGCTCCGTATCAGTCAACCGTTGTCACAGTCATCGATTCCACGAGGCGGTCGAGCCGTGCGCGAGGTCGCCGATAGAGCCTTGGCGGTTGCGGCGAGAGGCAAAACGCTGTGGAGCCGAGCGATTCTATCCAAAGCCGTGAAACTCAAATTCAGGAAACAGAGGCGGCAGAGAATCTCGAATCCGGCGATGTCAACGGCAATCACCGGGAGTATCCGGTCGAAGAAACAGAGAGCGACGGTTATGAGGCTCAAGGCTAAAGGTTTGCCAGCTGTACAGAGGAAGGTGAAAGTGCTGAGCCGGTTAGTTCCCGGTTGCCGTAAACAGACATTACCGGTGGTTTTAGAAGAAACCACAGATTATATAGCTGCGATGGAGATGCAGATTCGTGCCATGACTGCTATTCTCTCCGCCGTCAGCTCTCCGCCGCCGCCGCCGCCAGGTCATGAAGGGGGACAAACACACATGCTTGGTTAGTTGGCCAAACTGTCCTTTCTCCTTCTTTTCAATTAAACAAAAAAAAGGAAAAAAAAAAAAAAAGATGTTTTTCATTATTCTTCACTGTATTGTTTGCTGTTTGAATATTTACTATTCAACCTCAATATCGTCATTTTACCATTTCATGTATATCCTTTTTTTCTTGAATCTCTCTGATACCAAAAATAGTGCGCAAAGCACACCCAAAAAAAAGAACAGGACAGTGATTGATTTCTGTAATCGTAATAAATTCCAGTTTCTTGATAATCGTGGAAGCACATTTGTGCTTTGTGGCATGGTTTTTTTGCAATATTGTTAATTCACGTAATGACAAAATCGAATTAATGTTTTAAGTGTTTGGAGGCAAATGCAACAATGGAATATGTAATTAGCTTTTTTGTTTTGTTATGTTTGAAGTTAGGTTGGTGATTGGAATTGAAATCTCTTTGGTTTGATCCTTTATGACACTTATAAGCTGGTTACTTTCTTTTTTTCTTCTTTTGTAAATGACATTTGTTGATTTGGTATGTGGTTAGATTTGGAGATGCAGAAAAAGTAAAAGAAAAAATCTAGAGAGTTAACACAATCACATGGTTGAGAAAGACATAAAGACATGAACATTATGACTCACATGCTCCATTCTGAAAAGGGAGTATATAATCGACTGCTGTGTTTATTTTGGCCCAACTTTTATTTTATCTTGTGTTTGATTCTCCTAAAAACTTACCCGGATAAAAAAACGAAAGTGAATAAAAAAAGGCACTAAAAATCTTCTTCTTTGTTTTTGGTCGGCCAAAAGGCACTGAATTTAGTGTATTTTTGGAGAAATAGTAATACCAAAAATAAAAGCAGATTTTATGAAACACATAATGTTTTCTGACACATGTCATGTGGTTTTTACATTATCTCCAACTTTCAATACTTGTACAAAACCCTTAAACCCCACCAACACTTACATTTTTGTTGCACATGTGATGCATTCAATTGGGTAGACAATGAAAATCTTTTAATAGATTTACTTCAGAAATCATAAGAGAGGAAATCATAAGAGAGGTAGTAGATAATCTTGTTTAATTACTTAACAAGGGGATGATTGGTGGGAGCTTTGGTTGCTCTCCACAGCTCTATATATCTCTGCAGCACTCCAAAATTACCAATCATACTCTCATTTTATTTCTTTCCATTTTTGAAACATAGAGCAATTTTATTTATTTATGGAAGTTTCATAGCTGTAGAAAGCAATTTTTCTAGAGCACTAAATTTAGTGCTCTCTAAATTCTCTCTCTTCTCTTTCCTTATTATTTTGTCTATATTCTTTTTTTAATCTCTTATTTCTATATCTTCTTTTTTTGTTTTGATATTTCATTTAATACACAATCTACAAAAAAAAAATCTTACAACACTTAAAACTAAAACCACAGCACTAAAACCTACATCCTAAACTCTACAGCCAAAAATCTAAAGCCACAGCCACACCCAATCAGGCCCAGTGTAATTTGAACACATACAAAACAAAAAAAAAACTCTGAAGAACTTATTAAAGACATCTAAAAAAAGTTACAGGAATGCCTACATTTTGTTTATTTCTTTTGGTGGTGAAGTTTTTATATTTCTATCTTTCGAGATTTTTTAGATTACTAATTTTATTTGGATAGATAATCATTCAACTATTTAAAACATATAATGAAATTCAAATTAGTTTTTTGTATAGCATAACTTGAATAATATTGACTACTCTATTGAATATGTGCAGCTTGCGCATTTGTAAATCTGAATTGCTGCGCAGCTAGACATAAAATGTCAATTTTGAAAACTAATTTTGGGTTTAAATCTTTATGTGGTCATAATATGAAAATTAGCCGTAAATCGTAATACGAGGGAAAGTACAACCATGCATGTGTTCATCAAATTCATTCTTGTCCGCGAAAAAGAAAGCAAAGTATAAAGATGAGAGCACATGGATCAAATGATTTTGCCGTAGTCGTAGACTCTTAAGTGTGTATAATGTCACTATGAACTTTAGGCTGCTTTTTGTTAACCTCTTTAATTTTATTGGTCTTATTCAATCACTTTTTCTTGTTGTCAACTATTCTGTTCACTTAATTTGTCGGTTTAGATACACTGTTTACACTTTTCAACATCGTAAAATTACTACTTAATTCTGAAATAAAGAACTTCCAAATAAACAAATCTTATGTTAATGTTTATAACAACACTGCATCCAAAATGTGTTTCTCACGTATATGCAGTTTTTAAACAATAATTTACAGAATTGCATAGATGTATATATACATAACACAATAAGAACACCAGAGCTCTAACTGAAACAAAAGAAGCTAAAAAAGCTATACACAATACTTGAGAAATCTGCTAATATAAACGGAAAAACACAGCAATCGTGTGTTAACTAATTACTACTCCATTGAAAACACAACGATTGTGGAGTAGTAAATTTTAGACGTCAGTGTATATCAAGAAATCGATACGGTTATATCTCAGCCATGACGGGCGGCCTGTCGTGTGCCGCTGTCCGAACCATACACGAGCCACTGACCACTCTTATTCGCACGTGGGGCACATCACCTGCTGGACCACACGTGAACTCTCAGATTATCTACGTATATGTATAAAAAACTTACTATATATAATCGGGGAATAAAATACGTCCAATTGATTTTTTCTTGTACAATCCATTTAACGCAGACTTTTTTGTACTATATATTTAGTGCAATATTGCTTTGGTGCATTGCTTTTTATTTTTGAAAATATGTCACTGTTTACTTGAGCAAATATTGGATGATATATTTCTTAGGAAGATAAATTTATTTTCAGAATAGGTTTCAAGATTTATGATTTGTACAAACCTAACGTATACGACAAGAAGAAAACTTTAAATTCACAACAACAACAACAACAAACAAATATTTTAATAGTAGGAATTGTGGTACATCGCTTGGTTGCTGTATTGAACAAGAGATGGGCATTTCTCTGCTGTCTCATCTCAATCCACGACAAAGTTAATTTGTTGGGCTGTCAAGTAATGTACAAATGAAACAATTTAAATCTTTATATAATTCTTCTTTTACATCTTTTGTTTTGTTTGTCAACACTATTTAATTTTCACATTTTAATTAATTGTCAAAATGAATTTCAAAGTAAATCATCTTGATTTGTAAAAAAAAAAAAGAAGAATTAAAGGAGCGAGGGAACCCGGGAAGATAAATACTGATAGAGCGTCACGAGAGAACCCGGGATTAGCCACGGCCGGAGGAGTCTTGCGTGATGAGAATGGAAACTGGGTCTGTGGCTTCGCACTTAACATCGGGATTTGCCTCTAGCAGAACTTTGGGGAGTGTACTACGGTTTGCTTATGGCGTGGGAGAGACATGTCCCACAACTGATAATAGAGGTGGATTAGGAGATTGAAGTGAAGATACTTCACTCCGGGATCAACGACTCACACCCTCTATCCTTCCTAGCGCGCTTGTGCTATGGCTTCTTCACTAGGGGTTGGATAATCCGGATCATGCATACGTACAGAGAGGCGAATCGGGTCGCAGACGGACTTGCGAATTATGCCTTCTCGTTAGCTCTTGGTTTTCATTTATTTGCCTCGTCATCCACTGTAATTTCGGTGTTGTTGATGGAGGACGTTAATGGCTCTTCACGAGCTAAACTTGTAAACTCTTAAATTGTGTTTGAATAAAATGGAGGGGACATTTGTCCCCTCTCACGTACCAAAAAAAAAAAAAAAATTAGGTTTTTAGTATTAAGTATGCAGTCTAGTATACTACCTTTGTAATATGTACTGTATATATTGTTTTATATATTTTACCCGCTAAAAAAGTATTAATCTAATTTTTTTCCCGTAGTTACTGTTTTAGTGTTTTTCCCACAACTGTTGTTTTTAAGGAAGAAGATTGATTGTCAAAATTTTGTCTCTAACAACAATATTGTTTTTTGTTTTCATTTGGGTTTCATAGTAACACTTTTAATAGATGTTTTTGATCACGAAGATATATTTTTACATGAATAACGTTTTTCGAAATAATGCCAAAGTTCATATTTTTAGTAATGCAAATTATGCAATGCTGAAAATCAATGTTTATACAACAAACTGAGTACTAAACAAGCAGTCTATACTAACTAATGAGGTTTTCTAGTAATTAAGCTGACTGACAATAATGTAAGTTACTTTACATCTACATCAAAATGCTGTAGAGGTAAAAGTACTTGTTTTTGTTAATATAGTACGTTGCAGAATGCAGAGACGCTGAACTGGTAATCAAATTGATTAATTCATGTAACGTAATATACTATAATAGGTGATAACTAAATGTTTGATTGATCTATCGAAGGCCTAAAAAAGCAGTCTAGCTAGCACGAGGTTCACACGCTACGGTAGTAGTGGTTGTTCTTTCCCGTTCTTTCTTTAGTCCTCTAGAGTTATCTTTGAAAAAAGGCACTTAATAATCAATTATTGAGTGGCAATTAGATCTCTAAACCTTGATTAAGTTCGAAAAATCATATTATAACCTTGATTAGTTATAAATAGACTTTCTAGAGACATGGGCTCACTAAGTCACTAGGTGTCGAACTCTTCACTCTTTTACTACTTAGTTTATACTTTATTGTTTACTAGGGTTTGACCCGCGCCCTACGCGGTGTGATAGTTTCTGAATTTATATTTTTCAAAGTTTAATAGTTGTGACATTCACAATTGGTACCACTTGAACATCATACCATTTTTTTTTAAGGTTTCTCTCATATTTCGTTAATGTTAATATACTAAAAAAAACCAAATTATAAATAGGTGATAACCCGTGCCATGAAAGGAATACAAAACAAAAATAAATCATTAATATTTATGAATAACAACAAAATTTGTATTAGTAACGTAATCGCAAACATATTGGCTAATTATAAGTTTTTTTTTATGTGAATGCATGGATGTTAATATGGACTAATATATCTAATTTTATCCATATATTTTATGTCAAATTAAGATAATTTTCATGTTTTAGATTTTTAATAGACTAATCCACGAAAACTATGCTTCGTAAAAGCATCGAAATTTTATTTAAAATATTCAATACATACAAAAAAAGAATATATACTTCTTTAGTTTTATATTATTGATTATTTATTAAAATTACAAATCATATTTATAAATCATTAAATTATGTACTATTTTTAACTCTTGAATGAATTATTATTAGAATATATTGACATAGTTATATTTTAATTTTTATCAGGTTAAATAATATAAGTTTTTCAAAATAAATCTTATAATATTTTAAAATTTGATATAATATAAAATAATTAAAATAATTTAACTTATTGTAAAAGTTAAAATATCTTACAATTATGATCAAATTTAATAATTATTTATTCTATCTAATTATAAAATTTAAATGAAAACCATATTAAATCGAATAAAGAAAAACTTTTACATTTTGATGCCTACAAAAATGAGGATTCCTACTCAATAGTTGCACATAATGTACATATTTTTATAACTGATTTTTGAATCATTATTCGACAACATATCCAATCTCTATTTTAACAGTGTTAGTGATTTATTTTGTTTTAAATTATTCAAATCATAGCATATATAGAAAAAATGTATATTTTTTATTCTAATTTTATATAGATGATTAAAAAAAACAAAAAAGTTAAACAAAAATAATAGGAGAAATATAATTACTAAAAATAATTAATATGATATAACTGAATTGAGTATCTTCCTTATTTACTGATTTTCGTGACAATTAATTAAGGAAATAAATTAATTATTTTTAATTTATATTTAGTTTATGAAGACATATTTGATTTTCTAACAATAATATATGAGTGGCATTGTATGTAATTATTCTAGTAAACTTAACCTTATTTCATAAGTAGCATGAGGAGCTTCATAGTGATGACACATCAGCATGGCATTTTGGTTAATAATACATGACATAAATGTTACTTTCAAAATGTTTTCTCTTTTAATATAAATTTACTCATCATGCATTTGTGTAGTCTCCATGTTAGACACAAGCACTCCAACCCGTGAAGATAAAATTACCAAATACCGAATTGTTTTAGATATAGCGTAGATATAACTTTGTCATGTAATGGCAGTTGTTTAACAAAACAATTCCATGTCCAATATCCTATTATACAACATAGTTTTTTTAACTACTTAAAATGGTAGTAATAGTTAATACTTTCTCTTTCTCATAATAAGTGTTATTTTGGCAAAGTGTATACTATAATTGGATATATCTGAATATGTTTTGAGTTTAAAACATCCAATGTCATGGCACTTATTATGAAATGCACGGAGTATTAGTTTTGTATTGAAAAACTTTTATTTTTTGTTAAAGGGTTTTTGTCTTGGACAACATGAAATGTAACAGAATCAACACGACAAATACAAATTTTTATCACTCAAAATCGTCACTCTCTCACCACGTATTTGTAACTTAAAACTTACAAGTAAGTTTCTCACCATTCAAAATCTGCTATTAAACATTCAAACTTCCTTATCATTTACTTATTTGTTATTTCTCTAATTATTACCAAATACTAAATCAAGAGAGGAGTAGAACTAGAAATCAATGCGGCCATATTATTTTTGTACCACAAGTTAAACAAAGAAAAGAGTCTTGTTAATTCGTGTACAACACATAGAAAAGAGAAAAACATCGACCAGAGCTCTTTAAAACGCACGTGGGTAGGACCCTGGCATGTCTAGTTTTCCAAAAAGCCGTAAAACACGAAAATAACTATTTGTGTTTAACTCCGATAAAAAAAGAATACGATAAAATCGCGAAAAACTCCAACAACACCTTATTTACAGAAGGTGTAGTTGTCAAACCGATCTGAGCTATGTAGATGAGATGATATCTCTACGAAGGGGTCATGTTACACTCCTTTATATTATCTTTCTTTTTTTAGTGTGTTGAATTTTGCAGGATATTTGTGGGCGTTCGCTTTATCGTTCTGTTTGCTATTGGATAAAGCAAACAGCAACTTATTTAGCACTATACCAATCTACCTTTTAATAGTAGATAATTATCTTATTATGTCTCTCGAATAACTGTAAGCAGCAACTTGTAAGATAATGTAAAAATTAGTAGTAAGATTTACCAAACTGGCCTCAAAAACTTTCAAAAGAAATATTTCAATGTTTGTGATCCAAGAACTAGACACGAGGATTCTTTTACAGAAACTTACAGCATGTTGTGGCAAAAACTCTCCCCTAAGAATGCTAGATTTCTTGATGCTCAGCTGATGCAAAACAAAAGCATTTTCTAAACGAAACAATAAAAATAGGGTCATTATCTTGTCGAACTCTAAAGCTGAAAGAGCAAGACAATTACTCTCTTTCGGATGGCAGCAAATATTTTAGTTTGGCAAAATTTCATAAACAGGCCTATTGGGTTTTTAGAACAGTTACCAATGGATCCAATAAAAATGCAGTATAGTCAAGTATGGACCTCCTTCACAAGTTTCTCTTTATAAAGAAGGCTATTGAAAAGTTCGACGATCAATCCTCAAACTGAAAATTCTCTCTCTCCCTTAGATGAAAAGGCTAGAGGACACGTACATGAATAAGTATATAGACATAAGCAAAGCACTTAACGAATATTTTATTATATGTAATGCGAACTTTATCAAATATGATACATCATCTCTATACCTGGAAATGTTAGTTGATGGCTCGTGCTACTCGAAACGTTTACACGTGTCCCCGTGTCCGTTTAAGCATAGTTTTCTTCTTCTATTGATTAAGAATTTAGTGAGATGAGCCATAAGGAAGACGACACTTGTATGAATACCATACATTACTTAAAATATAATTTCGGATGATATTGGAGGAGTGGCGATGGCAGTATCATCACCAAGAAGAGCACTAAGACGTTAGAGGCCCACTTAGCCATTGTTCACAGTTCACACATATTGGTCAAAAAGAAGGTACTAGAATTTACGTGACTCTTACGTTTCCACTGATCGGCTCCTTATAAATACCTACACAGACCAATATTCTCTCCATACACCATCAATCGATCATACATTACACAAGGCTCGAGAGAAGCTAACTTTCTTTCTTCCAAACTTTCACAAAGAAAAATATTTTTATTGGTTCTTAATTATAAGAAGTTATTAGAATGGGAAGCCTCAGGTTACTGGGAGCTGCTTTCTTGGTTATAGTTGTTTTTGACGTTTGTTTAGCAGCTAGATCACCAAAAGCACTTGGTAGAGGGTCCGGTTCAGGTTCCGGATATGGTTCAGGCTCTGGGGGAGGCAGCGGTGGCGGAGGAGGTGGAGGTGGAGGTGGCGGTGGAGGAGGAGGAGGAGGCGGTGGAGAAGGATCAGGTTCAGGGAGTGGCTACGGTTCAGGGTATGGATCCGGTAGTGGTTACGGGTCTGGAGAAGGAAACGGTGGAGGAGGCGGTGGAGGCGGCGGCAAAGGCGGTGGAGGTGGAGGGGGAAATGGAGGTTCCGGATACGGGTCAGGTTATGGAAGCGGCTCGGGATATGGAAGTGGTGGTGGTAAAGGTGGCGGAGGGGGTGGTGGAGGCGGAGGTGGAGGAGGAGGTGGTGGTGGTGGTGGTGGTAGCCGAGGGAATGGATCAGGCTATGGAAGTGGATACGGTGAAGGGTATGGGAGCGGATATGGTCGTGGAGATAATAATTACGGTGACTCGCCCTAAATGGATATTATTGCTTATTTTTACATGATTAGGAAGGTATAATAAGTTGATCGATATTTGTCGTCACGTATACACATGTAGATCCCTCTTCTTTTGTTTTTGAAGAGACGATGTGCATGGTTTTCACTTTCCATATTAGATAATCCCATGCATTGTGGATATATACTATTATACCACCATGCAGCATTTATGGTTCTAGTATCATTTTGTACTCTGTTCGTATTTACCTTGATTATCCCACTTATTGATTCCCTCCATTTTGTGCATGTGCTGTTAATAAAATTAGAACAACACAAAGAAATTAGTATTATGTTCTGGCAAAATGAACATGCACAAATAAAACGCGCTCATAGTTCACAGTGTTCACTTGCTTGATTAGTAACAAAAATTTGGAAGGAGGCTGACAATTTATTCCCGAGTTCGTGTCTACGCTTTGTATTAACAGTTTTTTTTCTTTTTTCTGTTATTAGCCTTAAAAAAAATTATGACAGACAGAATTTTACCTACATCACGTTCATGATACATACATATGTGGGATCATGACTAAAACAACTCTGTTTACATTATATATAGGAGATTTCTTATAAGTGCTTTATTAATCCTCAGAAAATGTATCTTTTGGAAGCATTATTTACATACTTGGTTAACTACTAAAATTAACGAGACTTCCACATTGATGAATGGTACGTACGTTTTAAACATGTTATGGATAGGAACTCTGAAATTTTAAAAATAAATAACAGCACATGCACAAAATGGGAAAATTGGTCGTAGAAGATCATATAAAATGTTGCCAAAAGAATTGTACAAAAAAACATGAAACGTAAACCAATTCTCGGCCCAATAACCTGATATTTTCGGCCCAGTATTATCTTCGTCACAAGAAAATCTCGCCAAGTGTTTCTTTCATACATTGCTCTATCAAGATTTTAATAACAAATTCTCGTTAGTCGTTACGGAACAGGGAGATTTATCAAGCTTTTAATATTTATCAAGAGATTCAAGACACAAAACTGAGAACTTGGAATGGTCCATGTACATTTTTGTTTTTCTTTCTCTAAGTTCAAAATGGGTGACTAGTATAAAAGGTCAATGACATATGCATAGCATAGTGAACCGTTGACGAGAAAAGACATAAAATATAATTACATATTTTATCGATATAAAAAGATAATAAACGTGGTAAATAGACTGTAAGATGCGTATGTGCAACAAGTCAAATTCATGGGGCCACGGTATTATTTCCGAAATGGACCGATTATATTTAATGTTGTCTGTAAGTGAGATGTGAAGAGCTCCCTACCAATCAGACACCTCCATGCCTTATGATTTCTCCATAATTATTGATTTCAACCGGGAGATAAATTAAACTGAAGTTTCCTACATTCACTATATCGTCGTTACTGAATTGAAGCTGTTGTGACATTTGTAACCTTGTTAATGAGATGGAATTGTAAGGAAAAGGTATCAGTAACACCCTAAAACAACATATAATATAAGGTGAAAATGTTTACCGACAAAATATATGTACTGTAAAGCAAAAGTGGAAAGCATATGGGGATTTTGACTGAATATAAAACAAGAGAAAAAATAAAGTGTGACAAAATGAGGTTGTTGAAAGAATTAGACCAAAAAGACGTTGACGAATTTCTTTAGGCAAGGGTGATTCTTGTATAATCAGATATAAGGGGGCTAAATCAAAACGATTTTAATAGTTAAGGGACTTGATCCTTAATACTTTCATCGTCACTTTCAGATATTTGTAAACTGGGCCAGATAGATTTATAGTGATCAAATTGGGCCCTAGTTTCTTCCTGTTTAGTACAAAATATGTCGTGGCTTTGTCTTTTGTCAACACGATTCTGTTCTCGTCTTGAGTTTTCTTGTAATTTCTTACAAACATTACAAATGTTTAATTTTGTATTTATGAAAAGAACCAAAAACAATGTTTGCTGTTCTTTTTCTACAAACATTGTAATTTGCAGAAAGGACCACAAAATATTTTACGGGTGCAAACGCATAAGAAACAAAAATAAAGGGATCTAACTGGAATAAAATAAATATTAAGCCCATCTCTCTGCGTCGGTGACGTGAAGCTTCCCTGCTGGAGAAATGCTCACATGCGTAATCCTCTCAGCTATATTTAGAACAGCAACACATGTCCGAACACAGCACACTCTCTATATCTATTTTCGAATTCAAATCTTCTGTCCTTTTTTTCCTTATAAAAATCATCAAATATCAATCTCTCCTGAAGGAAAAAAATTGGAAACTTCGACGAATGTGTTTAACCCTTTTTATTTCTTTGTCGTGATATAGTCTTTGGAATCGGTCTGAACTCGGACAATCAATCCGCCATTTTCTCCTCGGTCTCTCTGTTCACTTCTTCAGAATCGGATCTGAGTCTCCTTCGCTTTCGTTTCAAGGTAGAAAAAGTTTCAAATATTTTTCTATTTTATTCACACCCATTTCGTTTCTTTCTTTCTTCCGAGTTTTGTTTTTTTTAATCGTTTACTATTTCAAATCCGAGTCAGTTCTTCATCACTCACCAGTACTTTCGATTTAATTTCTGGTATCTAATTCGATTCGATTAAAAGGTATTTATTTCAGTTTTTATATGTTTTTCCCCTAAGTCACGGCATTGGAAAAAAGGAAAAAACACAGCTGTTCCTTGCTTCATGCCCGAGATTAAGCAATATATAATATATATATATATATATTTTTTTTTTTTTCATAAAACAATGAATTTCGAATCAAATGCACTATAAGATTACCTACTTCTGACAGTATCTGATTAAACATTACCCAAAACTCTTTCTGCCTCATTACTACTCCTTTAATCCAATCTCTCTACTTTTCAATTTTTTTGACTTTATCTACACAACGTGATTTTGATTCGGTAAATTATCCATATTCTGCACTATCATTAATAAGCATTAAAGTATTTCCTTTATCTACTGATGAAATATATTAAAGCCTGTGATTTTGTTTTTACCAGCTTTGGCTTTTTAAAGGCGGCACAAGAATAAAAGAAACGTATCTCTCTCTCTCTCACACACGTATATACATACGCATTTGCGTATGTCTGTCTTCTTTCGTCTCTGCTCGGTTTAGATCTTGATCTCGACGACAGCTTCAAGGCCTATTCTGATCGTTTTCAGAATTTGTAATCTTGTCTTGAGTGGATTATCTGGTGAGATATAATGGGAATGAGTCTCGATTTCGATGTTGATCTCGAGAAAGGAGTGGTCGATTTCGACAGTGTTTATACAAAATCGCCGGAGAAGCCATTGAAACCGGTGTCTTTAGATAACAAACCGGCAATAACCGGAGAAGAAACTGTCGGTTCGTTAGTAAACGATGGAAGTCCGGTTCAATGTGCGATCAGTAAACCGGGATGGGGAAGGAGCGATCGGAAGGAGAAACGCAAGAAATCGGCGTCGAAGCCTCCGCGGCCGCCGCGTGGACCGTCGCTGGATGCGGCGGATCAGAAACTGATCAGGGAGATCGCCGAATTGGCGATGCTGAAACGGGCGAGGATCGAACGTATGAGAGCTTTGAAGAAATCGAGAGCGGCGAAAGCTGCGTCTGCGGCTTCTTCTCTCGGCAATGTCTTCGCCACGCTTCTCACCGCTATTTTCTTCTTCGTCCTCATTTTCCAAGGTGTGTGATTTGATTTGATTTTTCACACTCGCGAATCGCGATTGCGTTTGCGTTTTGCTATTGTCAGTTTTGGTTTATATGTTTTTGAAATTTTCAGGATTGTCACCGAGAGCAGCCGGGAATGGCAAACCTCACTTAGTAGACGCCGGAAAAGCCAACGGTGGTTTTGTTTCGGTTCAATATGCGGGAAATCCGTCTGCGAGCGAACCGGATGGAGGTTATACCGGACCGGTTTTAGCACAGAGGTATGTTGCTTCTCTATCTGATTAAGAAGAGCAAATGGTATTACATTGTCTGAAATGATCTCTAATCCGGATTTTGTTTGTAGTCGCAGTATACTAAAACCGGTTTCTGGTTTGGAGAGTGAAAAGAAGATGAATAGAGAGTTTCACAGTGAAGCGTAAACCAAAGGTTGAGAATTGGAAAAATCTTGTACTGGTTGATCAAACCGTTTATCGGTTTAGATTGTCGGTGAACCATGTATTCCTACAGATAGTGTTTTTGGGGGAAAATTGGCTGCTTTCTCGGCGGCTATGAAACAATAACTATCCGATGTGGGTAAGAATAGTTTTGTAATGTGTTTCTTGAAATAAAAATAAGAAAAGTTACAAATAGTTTTAGTCAATGTTCTAATTTTTATCACGGTACTCTATATAAAATACAAATTGGAATCGTATACTCAATAGCAGACTGTTGTATTTTAAAAAGAATGCAAAGACGTATCCAAGTTTTTGCGAAATCAAAACGTAAACAAAATAAAAATATATGAATGAAATCAGCATTATTGCTATAGATTTTTAAAAACATATATAAATTTGAAATCACATGCTAGTGATGCTTGCAGTTGAAAATTGAAATCAATAATTTAAATAACATGTATATTTGGAAACAGAATCCATGTGGCTGTATCTAAACACTCCACTGAGCTCTATAGACCACTTTTAATGCTGTGCGAAATTAATTGAACATGTGATTTCACGTGTGCGTGTATTTCATTAGTGTCTATCATTTGTGTTTTGTTGCTGTCTTCGGATTCCTCGTGGGCCCATTAATTAAAGCCCATTAACTCCTAATCCGTTTTAAGTCACACACTCCCAACTACACAAATAAACAAAATGTAGGAAATATAAACACACAAAAGTTTAACAAGTAGAGAGGGCTCAAATTGGTGTCTGCGGATTGATCCTTTAGCAGAGTAGACCGTGTAACAGAGTTACTTCCACTCCTAAATTTGTCTGTCGAAAGTCGAAACCATTCTTTAAAAGAATAAAAAATTATATCCACACATTTTGTTTTTGTGACAGCCATTATATCAACACTCTTGCCGTCTTGCAGACCAAACTTTGTGAATGATAAAGCAATAAAGTGGTCTTGGCCTCTAGCAGTCTAGTTCGTTTAATTTGCTACTATCGTCCAAAGTCCAAACCCTATGTAGTTAATCAATAACGAAGTTTTAGTTTGGATATAAACCATAGTGACATGATCCAAACTGAACTGAAGAACGTAAAATCATAATCAGATTCATATCAAACCAACTTATATTCTGAAAATATGTATGCAAGGCAGATAAGCTCGGACCAAAATTCATCAATAAAAATGCTCTGGATCAAATTAGTTTCTAAATAATTCTTTCAAGTTTCAACTTTCTCAAATATGATTGTTATTATTACTTGTATCAATCCCTTTTGTTTCTTGTTTGTAGTTAGCTTATCATCTTTTTTCTTTCCAGCAGGATTCTTCCGAATTTACTAAAGATATTTGGTCGTGCCAATAATTACAAATATATTATTTGTATATGTAATATAAAATTGTTATTTGCAAAAGAAACAAAGATTCTTTTAACGACCATTCATTAGAGACTTAAGCACAGAAATCGCCACGTCACAAAGATTCTTAACCTGCTTGTTCCTAGCCGTAATAGCCACCGCGCTTTCATCGTTGGCGCCGGTACTATTGATCCCTTTCTGGCAAGAATCAGTCTGTTTCTCGGCGTCTCCGAGCACATACGTCGCGAATCCGAACTGGCCGCGCCTCATTGCATCGATCGCCTGCGGAATATTGAACTTGACCACCGGCCGGTAAAGCTCGGCGCACTGAGCCAGCGCTCGCTCCGCCGCAGGTTCGTGTGTATGTTTGATCAGCGACTGGATGTATCCTAAGGTATCAGTCAGGTTTCCGAGCACGACGTTGGCCATTGCGGAGGCTAATGATTTGGGATCGGAAGGCGAGGGAGAGAGAGGACGGAGAGAGGCTTCGCAGAGGTCGCAGAACGGTGTGGCTTGGCATATTTTGTCGATCAGGTCGTCGTTGGATCGAGCTAGCAACGGCAGGAGCAGGAGGAGACAGAGGAAGAGAAACGTTGGTGTTGTGACGGCGGAAGATTTCTTCATCGTCGGAGACTGACAAGAAATTGATGTGCAATAAAGAAAGAGTTTGTGTTTGTGTGAGTGCTACTGCTAGGCTCTGTTTCTAGACTTATATAGTTGCTATTGAAATTTGTTATATGTTAATATATGTAAAAAGCTTGCAATACTGTACCAAATACCAATTACTATGTTTTTTTTTACTGTATAGTTCTCACAATTCCACCCGTGACTACGAAGATTCATGATCAACATAATTTTAATTTTGGTTTGATAGAAATGTCATACTATGATATAAGAAGCCCTTCGTATTTTAGAGTATAAACTTCATTTTGAGTGTTAGTATAGACTATAGAGGTATTTATGATTGATTGACTACCTAATTTTTTAATACATGGATGATCTGTGTCTGCTCTTTTAGTTTTTGTTTGTGACACTTTATCATCTGTTTGGTTATATGTGGTTGTTGGCAGAAAAACAAGAGAAGGAATAAGTTATGTGGTTGAATGAGTCCGATAGGAGTCGGTCCATATACGACAAACATACCATTATACATGAGTTCACACTAGTGTACCCGACGTCGACCAAATAATTTCAAAATACATTCATCTAAATTTTTTAATTATTTATTTTGTACTTTATAACAGAAAATTATTTATATTTCTAGGGCTGTCTTCTATCGTCAGTCGATATCTGGCTCGTGAATGTTGGTATATCCCGTGATTCGGTTCTAGAAACTTCGTGCCCAATTTTACCCGTGTTCGAGAACCGGATCAATCAGTTCCACAATCTCATAATACCGGTTGCGCATAACGGCGCAATCTTGAATTAAAATGATTTTCTCCGGTTTTAAAGGCAAACTTGAATTTTTTATTTATTCATTTGTTTTATTAAATAAAGAATTAGAGCAAGTTTCGGACAACGGCTCTGGTCACATCACAGATATTATTCATTCTCGTGGTCAACCTGGTGAAAGGAGATTGGCCTTTTGGAAACGCTTCTTCGCAAATGGAGGCTTCCACGCCGGCATCGACAACGGCATCTTCGGCGAACTTTGGGTTTCCTTTGATAGCATCAATCATTGTGTTGATGTCAACGTCTACGATCGTTTTATATCTCCGGGTACATTCATTCAATGCCCGTTTCAGCATCGGTTTCGTTTGGTATGCTTGGTTGATCTGCCCGAGAGTTTCTGTTCCAAGCGCCTACGTTGATTTTTTTTTTTTTTTTTTTTTAATATATATATTTGAACAACATAAGTTAATACTATGGTAGATATTTTGTCAGATTCAAATATTGACTATGGTAAAGAGAGAGAGATACCTTGATTTTGTCGACAAGGATGAGACCGAGGCCGGCGGTGTCAGCGGTGGAGCTACGTGGATCGGAGCGGAGGAGAGAGAGACAGAGAGTGTAGTCAGGCGTCTTCTTGCATATCGTATCTACATAATCTCCCGCCACAACTCCCATCATCATAGCCATCATCATCACCATCATCATCTTCATCTTCTCTCTTAAAATCGTACAGTGTCTATTACTCTTAATTGGAGATTTAAGATGTACAGTATGTGTTCCTAGGTGTGTCTATATATGTGTTTGTAAGTGTGACTTGAGTAACGTAACCTATTTAACGCACACTCGTAACTTGTCAGCCGTATCTCTAAATGCAGAAACAAATTCCTGTGTTTAAATAGATAGAGATATGATTCAATCGTATGTTTTATTAGATGTACCGGTTATCTATTATTGTAGTTGGTTTATTATGGTTTAGTAGTTTTGTATATAAACACGTTAAACGCATCTTTGTACAGTTAACAAAGCTAATAACAACTTTTATCTTCATTCTCATTTCATCTTAAAGCTCTAGATATGAGAATTCAGCTTTGTTCATTTTCACCCAATATGGTATCAGAGACCTTCAAATTCTTCCGCATTTGATTTCTTCGTTTACAATGAGCTGTGCGATTCCGTTTTCCGCGCAATTGCTCGATTTTCTTGTTGATTTTCTCGCCATTGTTGGCAATTTCTTACTCGGAATCGTATACTGCTTTTCCGTTATGTTTGCTTTCATTTCTCTTTGATTGACCTTTGTACTTGCGATTTCTTCTCTCGATCGTTGTATATTTCTTCGTTTTTCCGCGATTTCTCAGCTCAATCGCTGAATTTTCTTACTGTTTCCCGAGAAAATCATGGATTCTCAAAATCCGACTTCGCGCACCTTTGCGACTGCACCGACTTCGATGGATCAGTATGATAATCCGTATTTCCTGCACAGTAATGATCACGCTGGGTTGATTCTTGTCTCCGATCGCCTCACGACTGCTTCCGATTTTCATTCTTGGCGTCGCTCCGTACGCATGGCTTTGAAATTCCGTAATAAGCTCGGATTCATCGACGGTACTATCTCTCGACCTCCTCCTACTGATAGGAATTATGGTGCTTGGTCTAGATGTAACGATATAGTAGCTACCTGGTTGATGAATTCCGTTTCGAAGAAGATTGGGCAGAGTCTCTTGTTTATATCTACTGCTGAGGGGATTTGGAACAATTTGCTATCACGATTCAAGCAAGATGATGCTCCGCGTGTGTATGAGATTGAACAGCGTCTAAGCAAGATTGAGCAAGGTTCTTTAGATGTTTCTGCTTACTATACGGAATTGATCACATTGTGGGAAGAACATAGGAATTATGTTGATCTTCCGGTTTGTACTTGTGGTAAATGCGAATGTGATGCTGCTGCTCTTTGGGAAAAGCTCCAACAACGAAGTCGTGTGACGAAGTTTCTTATGGGATTGAATGAGTCATTTGAGCACACTCGTCGTCATATTCTCATGTTGAAGCCTATTCCCACTATTGAGGAAGCTTTTAACATTGTCACCCAAGACGAGCGTCAGAGAATGATTCGTCCTGTTACTAAGCTTGATGCTATTGCCTTTAATACGGCTGGTTCAGTTCCTACTGATGGAAGTATGACTCAGGGTTATACAGGAGATAATGGGGCTTATGTTGCTGCCTATAGTGCTCGTCCTTATCAAAAGCCAGTATGTACTCACTGCGGCAAAGTTGGTCACACTGTTCAGAAGTGCTTCAAGATTCATGGCTTTCCTCCTGGCTATAAGGTTAATGCCACTGCTCCGGCTTCTGCTTCTAAGCAACCTCTTCAGCCGCGAATGCATCAACCTCAAATACAGCCACGGATGCCTGCTCCTTCTTATGCGGCCAACATTCAAAATGCCAATGCGATTGCCAATGTGTACTCTAATGCTGGTGGAATGTACACTCAGTCTCCTGTTCCCTATCCTTCTCCCTTGCCTGGTGGTGGTACTAATGTGGATCTGCCGACTTACTCTCCACAGCAACTCCAGGAGTTAATCTCTCAATTTCAAAGTCATGTCTCAGTTCCAGAGTCTGTTGCTCCTCCTACTCAAACTGCCACAGTCACTGATCATGGAGTCATGGCCCAAATTTCAACTTCTGGTACTATTTCTTTTCCTTCCACCAGTCTTACATGTCAGAATGATAAACTTCTTTTTAAAGACCATTGCCTTTCCTCTCTAGAAACTCTCCTTCCGCATAATGCTTGGATCATAGATAGTGGAGCCTCTAGTCACGTTTGCTCGGATCTAGCCTTGTTTAGCGAACTTACACCAGTTTCTCATTTTACTGTTACTTTACCGAATGGTGCTAGGGTCCCTATCACGCATACATGCATTGTGCATATTTCATCATCTTTGATTCTGTATAATGTTTTGCATGTTCCTGATTTTCATTTCAATCTCATTAGTGTGAGTTGTTTGGTGCGAACTTTGTACTGCTCTGCTCATTTCTATTCAACTTGCTGTTTAATTCAGGAACTTTCTCAGGGCTTGATGATTGGGAGGGCTAAACTCTTACACAATCTTTACATCCTGGACAACACAGAGGATGCTACCCCTTCTGCTTCATCATCGCCTTCTTTGTTCTGTGGTTCTGTTTTGGCTGATGTCAGTGTTTGGCATTCTCGTTTAGGCCATCCCTCTTTTTCAACTTTACAAAAGCTTAAAAGCATTTTACCTTCTTTTAAAGATCATTCTTCTGATTTGTTTCATTGTTCCGTTTGTCCTTTGGCGAAACAGAGGCGTTTAGCTTACATTTCTCATAATAATTTGGCTTCTCAGCCTTTCGATTTGATTCACTTGGATATCTGGGGTCCTTTTAGTGTTGAATCTGTAGAAGGTTATCGCTATTTCTTAACCATTGTTGATGATTGTACAAGAGTTACATGGCTTTACATGTTGAGAAATAAAAGTGATGTTTGTACTGTTTTTCCTGCTTTTTTGTCTCTTATTTCTACTCAATATAATGCTCGTCTCAAGGCCATTCGTTCTGATAACGCTCCTGAATTGGCTTTCACATCCTTGCTTCAGGAAAGAGGTATTGTTCATCAGCTCTCTTGTGCATATACACCTCAACAGAATTCTGTGGTTGAACGTAAACATCAGCATTTGTTAAATGTCGCTCGTGCTTTGCTTTTTCAATCGAATGTTCCCTTATCGTACTGGAGTGATTGCGTTCATACTGCGGTTTTCTTGGTTAATCGAATGCCTTCTCCTCTTTTGAATAATAAATCCCCTTTTGAACTGCTTTTAAAGAAAATTCCTGATTACAGCTTACTTAAATCTTTTGGCTGCCTTTGTTATGCCTCTACGCTTTTGAAAGATCGTAACAAGTTTTCTCCGAGAGCAAAACCCTGTGTTTTCTTAGGCTATCCTTCTGGTTTTAAAGGTTACAAGGTTTTGGATTTAGAATCCCGTTCTGTTTCTATTTCCCGGAATGTGGTTTTCACTGAAAATGTTTTTCCTTTTAAGACCAGTGAATTTGTTTCCAAGGCTGTTGATATGTTTCCAAATACGATTTTGCCTATGCCGGCTCCTTTACATTTTGTTGAGACTATGCCTTTGAATTGCACTGAACCTGATTCTGAGATTGACTGTGATGTTCGTTCTTCTTCGCATACTGCACCTGATTCATCTGCATCATCTTTGCATCATGCATCTTCATCGCATCCTAGCACCATTCAGTCTAGTAATCCAGTATCTCAAGAATATGATGTAGGTCCGGTTAACATTGTTAGACCTAAGCGAACTCCTAAGGCTCCTAGTTATCTTTCTGAGTATCATTGCAACTCTTTACCTCTTACTTCTTATGACCCCTTACCTTCTCACACTACACCTTATCCCATTTCTGATTTCGTTTCTTATGATCAACTTTCTCCCCTTTTTCAATCCTACATTTTTGCCTATAACCTTGAAACCGAACCCAAAACCTTTAAACAGGCTATGGCTTCTGTGAAGTGGACTAAGGCAGTTAATGTAGAACTTCATGCTCTGGAATTGTTACGTACTTGGGATATTGAGTCACTACCTCCTGGTAAGAATGTGGTTGGTAACAAGTGGGTTTTCACCATTAAGTACTTATCCGATGGTACTGTGGAGCGCCATAAAGCGCGTCTTGTTGCTCAGGGTTTTACTCAAGAGGAGGGAGTTGATTACTTTGACACTTTCTCACCTGTGGCTAAGCTAACCAGTGTCAAGTTTTTGCTTGGTATTGCTTCAGCTAGTGGCTGGTCTCTCACCCAGATGGATGTTTCCAACGCTTTTTTACATGGCGATCTTGACGAGGAGATATACATGAGCTTACCACAAGGCTATACTCCACCTGAGGGAACTGTTTTGCCGCCTAATCCTGTGTGTCGTCTTCGGAAGTCACTCTACGGTTTGAAACAGGCCTCACGTCAATGGTACAAGCGCATTTCCTCTGTGTTGATGGGCGCTAACTATGTTCAGTCTCCGGCTGACAATACTCTCTTTGTGCGTGTTACTCTGGTGTCTTTTGTTGTTGTGCTGGTTTACGTTGATGATCTCTTGATTGCCGGCAACAATGATGACGCCGTTGACTGGTTAAAAGGACTTCTCAGGTCAGAATTTCTTATCAAAGACCTTGGTCCTGCTCGTTTCTTTCTTGGATTGGAGATTGCACGTTCATCTGCTGGCATTGCTGTTTGTCAATGCAAGTATGCACTGAACTTGTTGGAGGATGCTGGTTTATTGGGTTGTAAACCGAGCTCTGTTCCTATGGATCCCTCTGTGCGTTTGCGCAAAGACAGTGGCACTCTCTTACCAAATGTCACTAGTTATCGGGAATTGGTGGGTCGTTAGCTCTATCTGACGATCACAAGACCTGATATCACCTTTGCCGTACATCAGTTGAGCCAGTTTCTCTCTGCTCCGACTAATACGCATCTCCAAGCTGCTCATAAGGTGCTTCGTTATCTCAAGAATAATCCAGGCCAGGGCTTGATGTTCAAAGCTGAAACAGAGCTCTGTTTGATTGGATTTGCTGATGCTGACTGGGGAACTTGCAAGGAGACGAGACGCTCTGTTACTGGGTTCTGCGTTTACCTTGGTACGTCTTTGATCTCTTGGAAGTCTAAGAAGCAATCTGTTGTGAGTCGCAATAGCACTGAAGCTGAATATCGGAGTCTTGCTCAAGCTACCTGTGAGATGATTTGGCTTCAACAACTCTTGCGGGACTTGCATATCACTGTTACTTCTCCGGCGAAGCTCTTTTGTGATAACAAGTCTGCAATCTATCTTGCTTCCAACCCCGTGTTTCATGAGCGCACGAAGCATATCGAGATTGATTGCCATACGGTACGAGATCAGGTCAAAGCTGTACGACTCAAGTTGTTTCATGTTCCTTCGGAAAACCAGCTTGCTGACATTTTGACGAAGCCTCTCTACCCCGGTCCTTTCTATTCCTTACTCCGGCGGATGTCATTATCAAGTCTCTATCTTCTTCCTTCTGCTTCTGAGCTTTCTACCAATGTCAAGGACTCTGAAGATACGAAGATATCGACTTGAGGGGGGCGTATTAGATGTACCGGTTATCTATTATTGTAGTTGGTTTATTATGGTTTAGTATTTTTGTATATAAACACGTTAAACGCATCTTTGTACAGTTAACAAAGCTAATAACAATTTTTATCTTCATTCTCATTTTATCTTCAAGCTCTAGATCTGAGAATCCAGCTTTGTTCATTTTCACTCAATATGTTTATTTATCTAGTCATCAAACACAGTTAATTATAGTAAGAAAGACAATAAAAGCTAGTTTATACGAAAATGTTAATAATCTTTTCGTCAACGAAGAGTTTATTGCCTTGTAATGGTCTTTGACCAAAAGAGATTATATAATGGATTGTTTGTATAATTTAATCATGACAAATCAATAATTTTCATAAGTAGTATTGATTTGAAAACACATGTATTCAGAAATTCTGTGTACATATCGAATAAAGTGTAACCTTATAATTCGTTTTATGTTTACTAAAGTAATCTTATAACTTACATAACTATGTTAAATGCAATTTGAAGACTAAAGAAACCTTTTAACTTTTCCAACAAATTAGAGGACTTTTGACCCTATAAAATGCCAATCTTAAATTCATAAACAATTCACTAACTTTTTTTTTTGTAGCTCTCAAACTACTTCAACAATCAAATAACAAAATGAATATTTTCATGAAATTATTCGCTGTTACTGTCGTGCTAATGGGAATCCAAACCGCCTTTTCTCAATCAAGTGATTCTCCTTCGGGACCTAAGCTTATACAACAACTCTGCAAAAGAAACCGTTATCAAAGCCTATGCAACTCTACTCTCAGTCATGATCCTAGAAGCAAAGCCGCTAATCTACAAGGTGACATGATAAATATCATTCTTTGTTTTGTTTCTTGTGAAAAAAAAGAGAGGGAATGAAATGATTTTGTTATTTGAGATGATCAACGTATTCCTTCATATATACATATTTCAACGTTATGTAGCTAAAATATTATATTTTTGTTATAAAAGGGCTTGCGACGATCTCCATTGGTGCGACTAGCCCTGGGCATTTCGGGACGGGAATCCCGTTCCCACCCTTATCCGTTTAAAATTTCCCAAACTTTTCGGGAATGGGAATCTGCAATTTCCCGTTTGGGAACATTTATTTTATTCAAACAGGTAAGGGAAGGGTAAGGGATTTCCCGATTTTCCCGTTTAAAAAAATAAAAAGTTGAAAATTAGACATTTTTTCTTAAATATCCCAAATTTTCCCATAATTTCCCAAATTTTCCCATAATATCCAGTATTTTTCCATATTTTCCCGTATTTTCCCGTAGTTTCCCATATTATCTTCAATTTTCCTAATTTATTAAGACTTCGGGTATTATATTTTGATTCCCAAATTTCCCATTCCCTTCTCATTCCCGTGATTTCCCTTCCCGTTATAATAAGGGAATGCTTCGGGAATCAAATTTGGTTTCCCAAATTTCCCATTCCCCCGTCAATTCCCGTCCCAAAACCCGTAATGCCCAGGGCTAGGTGCGACGATAAAGACAGTGAACGAGTCGTTAACTTATTTTATCTCCGTTTTCGATAAAATCACTCTCCGTCCAGCATATGAGATATACGGAACTTGCATTGAGGATTACGGTAGGTTGATTGATAGGCTTTTACCGACGGTTTTGGCTGATATAAAGGCTAAGAATTATACTGATGCGATGTCTAACATGGAAGACATTGTGTTCGCACCGAATCATTGTGAGAACCAATTCCCTGCTGGAACTGCTCCGTTGCCCGTGACCCAACATAACAAAGCCGCCCATGATATCGCCGATATGACTGCTGATATCATCAAAACGTTTGTCCATTAGAATATTAGATGATAAAATTTTGTTTTCTTTTATACTTATCTACCTTTTCATTTTATAAAAAAAAAAAAAAAAAATCTACCTTTTCATTTTTACGCGATTATTGCAAAAAATCGAGAGCAAGAATGAATAAGATACTTAATAAAAACGATTAATATATTTAGTCAACAGTTTTGATTGATAGGAAACATATTGCGTATTCTAAATGACGTAAACTCCTTATAATAGTTGTTATTTTATATACTGAGAATTCATCCAAATCACACGATTACAACCCTTATTGTTACTCTTGTTCTTGGGCACCCAAATGTCAGTCTTCTTTAACAACGAAAACCGATCTCCCACATATATGGTACTTAGATAGTTAGATCACAACACTTGAAAATCCTTCCCAAGAAAACTCGAATTTCATTAGGTGGTACAAGGGATGAGTCTTGTCATTGTAAGCAACCCAACACAAAGTTCCATTCAACGATACACCAGTTTTGGAATGTGACGTAGGAGGTTTTTTCCACCGGATTCCGACTTGACGTCTTTCCATGTGCCGGAGACAAAGTCATGGATTTTGCACGCCAGAATCTAATCTCAAATAGATTATAGTTAATACACATTATTATTTTTGTTGATTCAACACGTCTACTACTGTACGAATAAAACAGTTGAATAAATAATTCAAGAAGTCCAATGCACATAGTGAAAAAAGAATATAAAACCAGTAAAAGAAAATGTTCATGGTCTTCTCGTCAACCAAAAGTTTAATGAATTGATATTCTTTCTTATTGTAATTGAATTGAATGTGAATTATTGATGTTCATGGTCTTTATTGCACCTGAGTCTAGAGACCATCTCTTCTTCGACTGTGCATTCTCGCTATCAGTCTGGACTAATTTATTCTCTCACCAGGACATTGCCCCTCCGCAAACCTTTGAAGCAGTGCTCCATTGGGTTGTTACCAATCCCCTGGCCTCGAACCCTAAATTCATTTGCAAGCTTATTTTTCAGGCAGGGATTTATGTTCTATGGAGAGAACATAATGCTCGCCTTCACTCCGCTACACCCAAGGGTTCCTAAACCTTGGTAAAGGAGATTCATTTGATGCTCCGAGCTAAGTTAGCCGGCTTGGATCGCCTGACTACTCAAGCTCCGACGGTCACAACTTCGGAACCAAGTTATCTCTATACCTGGTTCGAATACTTTCAGAGTTAGCTGTCTCTTTGGGATTATTCTCTCTCGAGTTTCTGTCAATCCTTCTCTAATCTTTTGTCTTTTCTTTTCCTCATCTTGTACTTTCAAATGGTATCTCTTTTGGAGAAGATGAATAAAAGAAAAGGTTTAAAAAAAATAAAATTACAGCGACATATACATTGAAGAATATGTATACTATTGGTCAAAGTACACAATCTATATTAATAAAAACAAATTAATTCTTTCTTATCGTATTTTCATTTGAGACTTTGACCAATGGTTAACGAATGTACTTATACGTACGTACTCCTATGACCAATATATAGGGTAATATTATTTTCCTTTAAAATATATATGTTAATATTCAGTAAGACAAAAGAACTGTAGAGCTTATAAAAAGCCAACCTTCAAATTACAAACAATCCACTAGCGTAGTGTTGTATTTTTCAAAATACTTTCAAAATCAAATAACAGAAATGAATAACATCATGAAACTATTCTCTATTTTTGTCGTGTTTATCCAAATACAAATAGCCTTGTCTCAACCTGATCAGTCTCCTCCGATACCAAACAGCGACATAGGGCAACTCTGCAGAGCAAACATTTACCCAAGTCTATGCCTCTCGACTCTCAATCTTGATCCTAGAAGCAAGACCGCAACTTCCGTTGGTGAGATATATTAATGTTTATTGCTTAGTTTTTTTTTCCTCTATCAACATTTTTAAAAACTGAACCAAAACAAAGTTTTGATTAATAATTCGTGAAAAAAACGAAAAAATGACATTCTAGTTTCATATATATATTATTATTAAATAAATGAATTTCATCATATTTTTTCAAAGATAATCTCATCATTTTTCTACTAATTTTTATATATTGACATTTAGTTGTCTTATTTTAACATTTGATTTTCTTCGTTGATTTTAAAAAAACTTTATCTACATCTTTAAACATGATCGAGAGTAGCATAGGTCTTATATCTTATTCATATTTTCACATTTTAAAGACGTACGTGATTCCATGTAGTAGTAGTATATATCACATATATAGTAAACTCATGAAATGATAAAACGTAAAATGTAATGTGAGTTTCTATTATATCCTGCACGTACTTCATATTTGTTATTTTACATATACATTCGTTATATATATTCGCTTATTTTTACATTTGGTTGTTATCTATAAAAGAACTTTCGGTGATCTCTGTGGATGCAACGTCAAAGAAAGTGAATGAGATGTTAGAATATCTCAAGTCTGTCAATAACAACACCAAGAACGGTGAAGACTCCACGAGGTACAGCATTTGCAGCCAGGCGTATACAATGGCGGCTAAAGACTTTTTACCATTTGCATATTCTCTGTTGAAAGATCATAGCTTCGTTGAGGCAAGGTCTGAAATGCTAAAAGTTGTGTCGGCGTCGGACAAATGCGCGGCGCAGTTTGCAGGGAGTTCGCCGTTAACCCAGCGTATCAAAGTCATCCATGATACCGCCGATATGAGTGCTGACATCATGAGATATTTTATTGCCAATTCATAGTTTAGTCTTGCTTTTGCAATTATTGCAAAAAGTTCGAAATAATACTAATGAATAATAAAAAAAAGAATAATATTAAAGAAAACTTTTTCTGCCTCTCAAAGAGTGATATTTTAGATTTCTCTTACATATATTTAAAACGATACTTTACCCTTTAATAATACACTAAATAATTTGTTTCTTTATAATTAATAAACGAAAACATAGGATTTCAATTGTCCACATACCCAGGATGAACAACACGAAGGCAGACAAGCTAGCACGAAGTGCTCGAGCTCTACCTACTGATGTGTACTATGTAAACTCTGTATCACCAGCTTGGATCCCCGAGTTGCTGTAGATAGAGAGGGTGTAGACAAAAAAAAAAAAAAAAAAAAAAACGAAAACATAGGATTAAAACTGGATTTTTGTTCAAACTATATTAAACTTGATAACAAAAACTTTATGAAATGAAAACGGAAGGAGTATTGTATATGAATACAAATTTTAGTTTCCATTAATATCAACTTGAGATTTGAGAACTGCTATATTCTTCTGAACCAGAAAAACTCCTTACCGTAGTGAGAAGCCATAGTGGGCTTTATCCGGCCTATTATATCGTACAAGCCCTGTCAATACAATTACACGGCCCAAACAACTATTATCGTAGATATTTTTATTATTTTATTCAGCGATACGGGACATATTATTAATTTATTATTTACCCTCTTCGTCCAAAACGACGTTACTCTCATACGAACCGTTCGATGTGGTGCCATATCATCAATCCCAGTAGAAGTTAAGATTGAACGGCTGAGATTGAATTTCTTGGGTTTTGCTGCTAAACCTTGTTCGAAGCTTCTTCTCTTCTCCTTTTCTCTCTCTCGCGGTCTTTCTTCTCCCTGAGAAAAAAAACTTCTGGAAACGTATTTCTCTCCGAAAGTAAGAATGACGCCGGGTGAAGATGACAAGGAATTCAAGGAGGAACCTAATGTTCAGGTTCTAAGCGACGACGACGACGACACTGAAGTGAAGGAAACAAACGAAGGTGGAGAAGAAGTTACCGGAGACGACGATGAAGAATTCGACGGTGAAGAAGACGACGATGACGATGATGACGACGACGACGACGAGGACGATGAAGAAGAGGTATGAATGTTTTTGGGTGTTTTTATTTCAATTCTCGTGAAATATGCTAATCTATCAATTTGATTTAGGTTTAAACTATAATCCTTGAGAGTAGATTATAGATCTAGTGCTTTCTACGCATATTGAGGTCTAATTACACTAGATCTGATTCATATAAGGACCAATTCTGAAAAAAGCTACAATTTTTCCTGGGAATTTTGTTTATGCTAAAGGCCAGTGTAGGGTTTATGCTCTTTTGTTTTCCCAAATCAAAATTGAGGTAGAAAACGAAAAGGACAAAACTTTAAATTTATTTCCCGTTACCGATGAAGTCCAAGTAAACACTATCATAGTGCTACTATCTGTTTAAAGAATCAGTTTTTTTTTTTTTCCCGAACATGTTTTTGTTGATCATATAACATTTAAACATTGCAGGAGGAGGATCTTGGGACGGAGTACTTAGTGAGGCCGCTTGGTGAGGGTGAAGACGAGGAAGACGCAAGTGACTTCAATCCGGAGGAGAATGACGTTGAAGAAGACATCGATGAAGATGAAGTTGACGAAGACGATGTTGATGATGTCTGTAACTTGTCTGCTGGCCAATCTGGCAAGAGGAAGAGGGTTGCAAAGGACCACAATGAGCCAGGAGCTGTTGCCGGTGATGACCTCAGGCCTTCCAAACGCTAGTTCTTTTACTTCAAACTAATCTCTGGATTCATGTACTTGTTTCTAATTTAGTGGTGGTAGTGTTGCCTTGAGTTCTTTATGGATTGTTGTTGTTTCTTTTATGTTCCCTGAGACAGCTTCAAACAAGTTTAGTTTGCTCTATGAGTTTCTTTAGAAGCAATGGATTTAGTTTCTCAAAGTTTCTTGATTTTCATACTTTGAAGAATGCTAATATGAGTGAGAACGATCCATAACATGATCCAAAAGCTAAAGATCTACAAACAGCTCTAAACACCTACTTTAACTGTTGTTCTCTGGTTTTCTCTTCTTGCGTTACTTGACTGATCCTGTCCTTGTTCCACTTCATCAGCCTCATCTTTTTCTTCTCCTTCTTCTTCTTCTTCATCTTCATACAGTACCATAACAACATTACCATCATCATCTACTTCGTACTCGATATTATCACCTTCTTCCTCACCCTCTTCCTCTTCATCCAACTCTTCTTCCTCCTCTTCATCATCAAAGTCATCGTCGTTCATACCTTCCCGAACAGAGTGAAACTCGGGAGGAGGAGGGCAGTTTTCTGTAATGGCCTCATCACGTTTCATCACGAGATGCCTAATCACTCTTTCGTCACCATCTAACAGTCCCTTGAACTCGTTCAAGAACTTGGCTTCTATCTCAAAGTTCATCAGTATGTAGTGCGCATTCTCTGCCTTCTGTATCTTATACGCCAGTCTACGCATCCCCCAGTCACTAAACCTCCAAACTTTCCCTTTCTTCTCCTTCAGGAATTCTGAATATCAAACAAACCCCAAAGTTACATTACATATAATACAAGTTCCACTACTTGCATGACATTTGGTGTGGTTAATATAAGAACGAAGGACCATGAGAAGGGGGAAAAAACAATCACCTTGCACTTTCTCGTTGATGCTTTCGACCTCCTCAGCATGTTTTTCATGAATCAAGTAAACCACCTCATAGTGCCTCACTGCATGAACATAGGTTATATACATCATCAAATGGAGTGTGGTATCAAATTAATCACAGAATCCATTACTACGAACTATATCATATATCATACATTATCAGCCTTTCTTCATAAAGTTGAGATTTTTAGTGTATACTAAGCAGGAACCAAGGGAAAAGCTAGCTAGTGAGAGTTAGAGAACCAGTTTCCAGATAACGCAAAAGCTCATTTAGCTGGTTGAGACATTAAAACGGTATAAAGAAAGATGAACTTACTCCTTTCCTCATTCAAGTCACTCTGAAGCTGAAGATCCAGAAACTCGTATAGCTCCTCTGTTCAAATAAGAAGAAACAAAACAATTCTAAAGAGCTAATCTTTTTGGAAACTATAAGTCTAAAACCAATACACAGAATAGTTTAACACATAATCACTTACTTTCTTCAGCATCAGCAAACTCAGGAAGAAGATCACCTTCCTCATCGACCTTCTTCTGCAAATCCAATCAATAAAAATGAACAATTACAAAACTTCAGCATCAATGTTGGACCAGAAATGGAGAGTAACAAATCATCCTCAAAGCTAACTAAAGAGAAACTGGATCAGCCTAGAGAAAGTCTAATACACAAACCAGTAGCACTAATAAATTGAAAGTGAAAACCTTTCTGAAGAACATTATACATCAATCTCCAGATTTTTACAAAATTGGAAGAACTAAAATCCACAGAAATCGAAATCAGAAAGTGAGAGTGAGAGAAGAGATTAAGAAAGTTGACCTCTTTGAGAAGAATGGATTCAGGAAATGGACCAGTGGCTTCGTCAGGTCTAACGGAGAAGCTATGATTGTCATCTTTCTTGCTTTTCTTCTTCTTCGCCGCCGCGACTAAAGAAAGAGACTTACATCCTCTGCGCCCGAGGTTAGGACTGAGACACACGAACGACGGGTTGATGAACGAATCTCGACCGTCTATTCTGGGTCTGAGAGACACCAGAGACGAAGACGCGTGCAGGAGTGACTCCATTTGAGAAACCACGAAGAAGAAGACGAAGGTTTTAAAGGAAGAGCAGGGGAATTTCGGGTTTTGGATAAGAAATGTTCCAGTTAATTTTCACTTTGACCCCTATTGTTATTTTATCATTTCCAAAATTGCCCGAAATAGTTTATTTTTGTTTTCTGGTACTAATGTTAATCGCCCGAAATGTTATATGACTAACCAAAGCAAAAGCATACGAAACAAAAACAACCTCCAAAGAGAGCAAGAATCACAACAAACCGTAACAAAGCTCACATGAAAATCAGTCTATAAATATACATGTTTAAAATAAAATAAAAAAGAAGCATATTGAAGCCTAATCGAACATGGAACATATAGCTAAAGGAAAGAAAGATTTATGTAACTTCAAGAAGTGGGTGAAAACCTTGATGTATTAGATTTGGACCAAACTTGGAACATAAGTGAACAAAAAAGTCCAATAATGTTTTGGTTGGATTACAAAGTCTCCAAGAAGATCCACTTGTCTGAATTCATCCTCTCGAGAAATGTAAATTCTAGAGTTAAAATCACATCCTTCAAGGTACCTATCACAACACACTGCCAATTTATTCTCCTCGTCCACCACGAAACTCATCGAATGCGAAACCCTATATTTCTCATGCAAATCAACTTTAAAGAACATGCACCACGACACGTTGTTGGGCTCATCATCATCAATCTTATTGGTTAACCATATTCCCATCGTTGATCCAACAGTGTCCTTAAACAGCACCGCAAGTTGCTCCTCTCTCACAGTAGATAGTACAACCATATCGCTGCTACGAGTAGACGTAAACGGCAGACGCAAACGTTGAAATCTCTCTTCTGTGAAATCGAATCTTAACACAAACAACTCATCGAGGATATTCTCTCTATCCGAAGCAATCCAATAAGTGTTTCCCTTGAACGACAAGCCACCGTCATCAGACGCAGCGTTCCAGTCACGGGTGATGCCATAAAGAACTCTCCACGAATTAGAGCTAAACTCATAGATATTAAACTTATCAAAAACAGGTTTGTAACATGTAAACATCAAGATTTTGTAGCTGTGACAACCTGATTCGTTGTTTTTGTATCCGAAAGCAATCTTATCGATTTCTTTGTGAACACTACTGAGTTCTATCCACTTGGTCTGCCTCGTACACGGGTTATAAGCCACGACTCTATCGCCGACGTCATTACTGCTCTCCTTGTTCTTGGTGCATAGCAATAAGCCGTTGCAGTGAAAGATGTCACGGTTATAATCGCCAAGTAGGCTAAACTCACCCTTAGGCTTTATAGTCGCATGATCAATGTTGTTGTGAATTCCACTGAGATCAAAACTCACAGAATAAACTCTAAAATTCCTTACCATGAGAACCAAAGCTTCTTTTGCTGCTTTCTCAAAGTGCTTCTTCGTGAAGCTATCATCATTGAATAATGGGTTCCATTGTTTGCAAGTAGATTGAAATCGTTTTAGAGATTTTGCTGGAACCCTAGAAAGTATCTCCTCTACGACATCCTCTGCAAGATTGGACAACAGCATCGTTAAATTTCTCTTGTCTGACAGATGAGCTGTACACATAAATTAGGGTTTTGGTATTTAACGTTTGCCTTTTTTTTTTTTTTTTTTTTTTTTTTTTTTGAACGACTCGTTTGCCTTTCTCAAGTCTTATATACATAGACGAATTTTTTTTTTCTTTCAAAACGTCTCGTTCCTTTTCCTATGTGGTTTTAGTATCTTACTAGGTGTTTTACCCGCGCACGCGCGGGTTCCGTTTTAATATTTGTAAATAAATCTTATGTCCTCTTTATTTTAATTTTATTCAATAATATTAAGAAAATGTATGATTCAATTAAGAATATTTGTATATCAAGTTCGAGTCATCAATTTTTTTTGTTTCTTTGATAAGAGATGAAAATAATAGTTTCATTTATTAAAAAAAGGTTTTTAAAATGCTTCACTATTTTTCAATTTTTGTTTATAATTTTTTTTAATAAACTTTTTTTTGTAATATACTTTTAATTTTTTTTACCTAACCAATTTAATTATTTTTATAAGTAGTCATAATAAGTAAGATACCTTTTAAAAATATTTTTTGTCATAAAAACATACAACAGCCCAATCCTCAAATTTCTTAAACTAATCCCTTAATTTTACTATTCATTAGACAATTTTTTTTATATCCAATAAAGGTTATCTGGCAAACTTATCCAATATTAGTCTAATACATATTTTAGTTCTTAATTTATTTTTTAATTTTATTTATTTGTTTATCCAGCTTATTTATTTTTTTGTAATTTTAATTATGTTGCATTTAATTCCATTCAATAAATTCATCTCTTTATTTTTAAATCACTGTTTTTGTATTTAAAAGTCTTATATCTAGAAAATAAAATAAAATATAAATGTATTTTACAGATCATTAAGGACGGGAAGAAAGGAATCAGAAAGATCAGGAGTAAAAAATAATTTTTTTTTAATTGTTTCATATGATATAATCGTGTTAAATGTATTCCCACTTTTTCCATATCATATGGCTTCTTCTTCTTCCCGTGGTCATCATCTTTTAATTGTTTTTCCAATTCCCGGTTAAATTCTTTTGGTTTGTTACGGTTCGATTTTCCTATCTCATAGAAATTAGAAATGCTTCATTTCTTTTTCTTTCATTTACCGACCACAATCGAACAATATTTCTTCTTCCTTATTCCCACCGGAACCATCTCATCATCTAGATCCCTCTTCTTTGTTGCTAATCTTGTTATTACCAGGGGAGAGCTCACGCTTCTTCTTCTTTTCGATCTCCTTCGACTCTCGCTCTGAATTTCTCAATTAACTTAGGTACCAATCTCGAATTTCCCCTTTATCGCCGATTGATGGTTTGATTTTTTGGTCAAATGATTTTCGATAACGTCACCGAGTTAAATTTTGGGTTTTCTCGGTGTTTGCTAGTTTTGTTGATGTTTAATCAGTCTATGTTTGTTTCGGTTCGGTTTAGCTATCAATTTGATATTTGAAATATCTCGTTGGTTTTGTTTTCTGTTCATATGGAGCACAACTTTTCTTCAATGGCTTTAGTCAATGACTTCGTTTTAAAGTCAACGACTTCGTTTTAAAGTCATCAAATCACTGTTCTTGGCATCTCATCATCCCCTTCCCTGAGTTTCGATGCTTCTTTCTTCTCCTGATTCTCAGCTAATGGCTTCGATGAAGGTTATGATTTTCCGTATTTTCAATCTTTTTTTGCTGATGTCCAAATGGTGTATTTTGTTTGTAATCTAATTGTCCGGATGCGAATTGGTGATAAATGTATAACTCTAGGTGGTGGCAATTGCTTTGGCAAGTTCCTGAGACTTATAGCTGTCGAGTTTTAGAGCGTTTTCTCCTTTCACTGGTCGTTTTTAATAATATTTGAAATCTCTTCTCATTGACTTTACCCCTTTTTGTTTGGTTTTCTTGTTTTTACAGAGATCAAACGTCCTTAGCCTTCAGGTTCAATTTTTTTCTTTAAAATCCTTTGATTAAGTACCTTCTGATCCATGAGAAGGAGTTCTACACCCATGAGTAATCCGCCTTTTCTAACGTTTCGTGCCTCCCAAAAGTGGATGACTCTGACAAGCAAATCATTATTTTGAAACCTTTTTTTAGATCATCGAAAACCAAAGTATGGCTTAACTGATTAGAAACAGAAGAGCATGAATTTGCCATGGCTTATAAAAATCGATTGAGAGATGTGAATGTATATTATGAACTTGGTTTCATGTGGCAATAAGACCACATATATATAGGATTTAAGATCATCTTATTCCTAATGGAAAAAGGAATCAATGTATATCAATGTCATTGTACAATAAGGAAATTAGAGAAGTGATAATTACAAAAATAGGAACTATCCAAATCCTAATCTTTATCAAACAATATCCAATTTGTTTTTCAAGAATCTTCTAGACTAAAACGAAATAATGAAACCAAGAAATAAATTTGGAAGAAGAAATAAGAAAAAAATGCCAAGAAGCAATCTTATATTCGCCAGAAATTAAAGCAGCCGAATTGTACAGTCAAATCACAAGACTTATCTTAGTAATAGATTCCGAATTTCTCCATTTTTGGTCTAATACTCCCTCAACTGAAGTTGTACTGAAGCTTCAAACTTGCAACAATGCGAAATAGGGAGTTTAGGGCAAAATAAATCCAATTCGATTTACGAAATCTGGAAATGAAGAATGAATTTTTGTTGTTTGACGGTGGAGAGAGAGAGAGAGTTTTGTGAGATGCAGTTTTAGGGTTTGTAGAAAAAAGGGGAAGAAGATGTAGCAGATCCCGTTTTGGAGATGCCGATGTCTGATTTTTTTTTTTTTTTTTTGTGGTAACCTAATGGCAATGTCCATATAATTATTTTTGAAACGGTTTAAAAAAAAACAGGGGACTGCAAAGGATCGAACTCAATACCTGTTGAGTTTAGGACAATTGTGATAACCGCTACACCATAGCATCTTTTTGGCTGAATAGGAAATTTATTTCTATAATTACTTAAACATGTGTAAATTTTCCACTAAAAAAGAAACTAATACTAATAATATATGTAAATTTAGATAATCTATGAATATGAAACTTATAATTCAGTTCTCGAAAATTGTAAAATCAGAGAAATTATCTTTACTGAAAATTAATTAATAAATAATATGTAAAATAGAAAATTTACATAAATTAATTTAAAAGCAAAAAAAAAAATAATGACATGGACCAATCAAATTCAACCTTTTAAATCCTAGGTGGACAGCCTCTAATGCATATAGGCTCAACTTAAAATAGAAAATTTACATAAATTAATTTAAAAGCAAAAAAAAAAAATAATGACATGGACCAATCAAATTCAACCTTTTAAATCCTAGGTGGACAGCCTCTAATGCATATAGGCTCAACTTTTATTAGTAATAGATTATATATAGGATCACGACATGTGTCACTTTTAAGGTTACGTCCGTTAAGATCGTGACACATGTCTTGGGAAAAAATGAATTTTTTTTAAAGGGAAAATTTTAATCTTTTATAATAAAAACGAAAATTTATATAATAAATTGAAAATAATGCTATAAAAAGGGAAAATATAGGATCACGACATAAAGCTGGATGCGCGCGACGTGGTTGCGACACGTATGATTTTTATAAAATATAGGATCACGACATGTGTCACTTTTAAGGTTACGTCCGTTAAGATCGTGACACGTGTCTTAGGAAAAAAGGAAATTTTTTTAAAGGGAAAATTTTAATCTTTTATAATAAAAACGAAAATTTATATAATAAATTGAAAATAATGCTATAAAAAATTCCTATTAATACATAGAATATGTATATAAACTAAATATCCTAAAACGGTATGGAATAGGTTACATAAACCCTTGTTAAAAAAAATCCTATTAGTACATGAATATGTATGTAAACTAAATATCCTAAAACTGTATGGAATAGGTTACATGAACCCCTATAAAAAGAGAGCTATTGTAATCTCTTTTTTCTCATTCACAAACTCATCAAAGCAAATTCAGCAAATCTCTTTGATTCTCTTTCTCTAATTTTAAAATCATGTCTTTGAAAGTTCAAAAGAACAGTGGAGATTATTTGACTCTAGGTCAATTGGATCGAAATCGAAATTATCGCCGTACTATAGTACGTGTTATTCGAAAGTGGGAAGCTAGAAATCCTAAAGAAAACAATATTCTTATGGGAGTTGAACTTCTATTACTTGATGAAAAGGTTAGTAACATCTTATATTGATATCTTATTATATAAATATGAAAGTTAGATATCAATGAAGAATATTTAATTTTAGATCAGTTGGATCAAAATTGAATTTATTGTCGCAACATGTGTCTAATAATTGATCAGGTGATGAGTTGTGTTAACACAAGAACATTGGAAAAATGTATTAACAGAAAAAGAAAAGTAACATTGTAAAAAACCTAATTGATATTGGAAAGGGAAATTAATAATGGACAAGAGGCAAAAAAAAGATTGAAAAAGAAAAAATATAAATAGAAAACAGACAGAATAATTATCAAGCAACTAACTAATATTAAAAAGAAAAATTTATAATAGACCCATTTTATAATTTTTAATAATTTTTCAAGTTTTAAATCGAATAATCAAAATTTTACGAATTAATTAATTGATCAAATTTAGACACATGTAATTCTTTCTAATATTAGATAAAAAAAATCATTTTTTATATTATGAATTCAGAAACAAAATGTGAGTTATAATTAAAATGTAAAAGGATTACCAATTTTATTTAATTTAGATATTTATTATTGATTTTTAATACTATTTTATTTACCAAAATGATCCGATTTTTGATATTTTTGTGATTAATTTTATAAATTTTAAAATAAACCGCGTGTATACGCGGGACTTAATCTAGTTTCATAATAAATTTGGTCCCTAATATTGTAAAATACTAATATACTCCATACTTAACTTTTTTTTTTTTGTAAAACACTCATATACAACTTTGATAGAGTTTTTTATGTGTATTTATGTTTTTACCACGTACGTTCGTTGATTTATGTGAATATGTGATACTTTGTTGTCCAAAGTTATTGTAATTATTATACCATAACATGGTTGGAGAGCATAAATAGAAGAGTACACAATCATACATGCTGGTTTGGATCTTTATTATTGATTCATGCTTTTATGTTATACTCGGTAGCAAAAAGGAGAGGAGAAAGTGATATGATGATTTCTAGGGGCGTGACGGAAGTTCTTGACCGTTAAGAAAGGAACGGAAAAGCGCAAGAGCTTCTTCAGGTTTGTTAAGTGGGACCAAGTGTCCAGCTCCTCTCACCGTCACCAACGTTAACCCTCCCTCGTACTCCGTTATCCTCCCTCCCACCTTCACAATTACGTAAAAAAAACACATTTGGATGACAACGTTAACCAAGTGTACCAGTTTAAACTCGTTTGGAAAAATAATCATGTGTTAAATATTAGTTGACCAAAAAGAATAGCTATAGTAGAATCTCTATAAAACAATACTCGATAAAACAATAAACACTATAAGATAATAAATTTCTCCGGTTCCAACTCAGGCCAATGTAAAAAATAGCATAATGCGATAAGATGATAAGACAATAATATTTTTGAAACTCCTATGTAAAAATATAGTCCCAACAATAGGATAAGACAATAATTATAAAACTAAGGCATATATATCTAAGGCAATTTAGTAAAATATGACTCCAATGTAGTTTGTCTTTTATGAAAGTTGGATTCTCGTTGGAGCTCATCTCGAATTTTTCTTAGTGCATCAACAATTTCTGGGGCCAAAAGTTGTGAAGAGTTTTCGAAGCCACAATTGATTCCTTACGTGTACCTACTTACATATATTTCTATAAAGTTTCTTGTTTTTTATAGAATATTTTTATAAAATAATAATTATTATTTTATCGATAAAATAATAACTCGATAAGATAATAAATTTTCAAAGTCCCAACATTATTGTTTTATAGAGGTTTTACTGTATGTACGAATCAACAGTAAATAATAAATCTTCATAATAAACACTAACCTGATGATTGTGGAACCAAGAACGCCACTCAGATTTGACGGAGAGACCTAAAGCTTCAACCCAATACCGAGTTCCGATCACCGGCAGTCTCCCATCGGCGTCTCCACTGTTAGACACTAATAATTATTTAATAGTCCATCCAACAAAAAACAAAAATACAAAAAGAGAGCATATATATTTCTAAAGAGACGTTTTTTTTTTTTTCTTTTTTTGTAACTGGATATAAAAGAGACGTTCGTAGAATAGTTTGGTGGATAATTACCTATAAACCCATATCTTGAGACCAGCTTTGATGAGCTTACTATAGGTAGGCAACATTGAGGAGACCGTGAAATTGTACGTTCGCAATATTGAATTACTGTAAGCAGAATAATAATAATAAAATTATATATTTAATCAAAATAACATGTCAACTTTGTTTACGTATTGTATGAAATCCAGACTTATTAGTTGTATATAATACTTACTTGCAAGTCTTCCACCTTGATACAGCTCGTGTGGCATGAATAGACGATCGAACATCGACTCTATTGAAATATATTTCAGCGTAGTTAGAGTAACAAGGATCGTATCCTTCAAACCATGTTACTCTCTTGAACCAGTCTTTGGTCGCAGGAGATTTATAATCTCCGGCACCGAACAAAGAAGCTCCCGATGAGCTATTGGTGTTGCACTTGGGAGCATATATGTTATAAATGTCAATCTCTTCGTATTTTCGGAACACTGTTTTCATGGCGATGATGCAAGGTTCCGACCAATTCGAAAACTTGAAGTTGCAGTTACGTTTTGCTGTGTCGTAGAGATTGTCCGGGATCACTGCGTGGCTCCACGCGTAATCTAGAATCCCTTTAAAATCGTACTCGTCATCCGTCAATGGATTTCCTACCTAAGAGGGCAAAACAATTAAAGACGTTAAATCGTATAATGGCTTTTTGTTTAAACATGCACAACGAAAATGCGAGTTTTAGAATATATAATTACTTGCCGATTAAACTTGATTTAAATGTTAACTATATGTATCAAATGTATATTATTCAGAAGAATAACAAATGTCTTTAGAATGAAAGAATATCAAAATTGAAAAACGTGTTTAATTAGCAAAACTGATAGAGCATTCATAAAGAAAACTGATTTTTTTTTTAGTGTATTCATTTTCTAAAAATCAAGGATCACCAGTCGGAAATCGTTTTGAGCATTGATTGAAAAAAATCATTTTAAAATGAAAACATCGGTTGGATTGGATCAATATTACACTTTCCTCGTGCACGTAGTTAATAGTACTCGCAAAGTCGCAAAAATAATAATATACGTACGATGAAGCCTTTGAGGTTAATGAAGGAGTCCTTTGGTTTAACTTTGTTCATGTCGTATATAAGCTCGGCTAGCTGAGGTGCGTAGTGACCTGTAAAGGGTAAAACCCATACCATATCATATTTTACAATTTCTCAAAAAATTAGATTAAAAAGATCCATTTTATTTTCGTGCTTCAGTTTTGTACTTGTGTAATCCTAAATCTTCTTTGCTTAATTAGCTGATATTCTTAATCCAGATATATAGTGAAACCGACAACTCGAGAATAAAAAACATGAAGGTAATTAATTAAGCTCACCGGCATAGCTTTCACCAGCGATGAAGAAATCACGAGACTTATATTGGGGATACCTTGCGAACCAAGCAACCATGAAATTGTATGCATCTTCCGCTGTTGTAAAACATATTCACATTTATTTTTTTCAATTAGTTTTTAATCATTCCCCTTAGTTTAGACTGAAGACTAGAGAAAGTGTTTTATAATATTAATCTAACTAATCAAAATTTCGAAGAGTTGGCCACCTTTTTATCGACTTTACTTACCAACGAAACTGTCGTTGAGGTTGTCCAAATCGGAAGATGAGTTGGTGTACGAATACCCTACTCCAACCGGTGATTCCAAAAATAACATATTCGCTTCTGCAATTTTATCAACAATTTTTTCGTGATTTTTTTTTCTGTAAAAAGTAGCTTAATTATTGGTCGTAAAACCGTCACGACTTTTATTTTATCGCCCTATTATATCATGAAAGAAAGGAAAAAGAAACCTTGGACCCAAGAGTATTGATTGAATGTAAGGCGTGTGCCATTTTCAGCGACACGAAAAGGTCCTAATTCAGATGCTGCTCCATATCCAATAGATGAACATCCAGGACCTGCGGCAGAATATCATAAATATATATATATATATATATATATATTATATATTAAAGTTAAAATAATTAATTATATATAAGTGATGTAATTACCTCCATTGAGCCAGAGAACTAGAGGTCTTGTTGATGGAGATTCAGACAAGGCTTCAAAGAACCAGAAGAAGAGTGATCTTGTGTTTTCTTGATTAACATTGACATAGCCTGAGAAGTGAGAAACCTCTGGATTCGATGGTTGTTCGGGAAGATTCACTACTCTGTCTGAATTGTGTGCTTCAATGTTATAATCTTGATGACGTAATGATAACACTAACAACGAGATGATTATCAGATACTTTAGTTTTTTTCTCGGAGTCAAATCCATCTCAGGTTTTGGTTGTGTAATTGGTTTTGACTTTGTCGAGCCTGGCGTGTATATAAATAGTGAAATGTTGATTTATAAGGAATGTTGGTTGATTGTGGAAAGTAGAGTATGTGGCCACAAAAACTTATCCTTGACAACGAGATGATTAGCAGAATCTGAATGTCACAAATGTGAAGGATAAGTTTTTACAATCTTGACATAGAAATAAATTAGGAACTGTTGAAGTAGAGTATGTGGCAACAAAATCTTATCCTTCACAATGAGATGATTAGCAGAAGCTGAATGTCACTTCTGAGTTGTGAACAACTGGTTTGATAACTCATTGTTATGTTTATGGGAATTTTCCAACTCAAATCCAACTGGTAATGACTTGACTGGTTCATGTTCTTACCCAACTATCATTCAAACTTATGATGTTGAATATTCTTAAACTCATTAGATTTTTAATTATGTGATCCACAACTCACAATAGAGATAATTAGAGGTCATCGGAATCAAAATATCAGGAGACTTTTTTCTATTTAGTTTGATCACAAAATAATTTCATAATTGTCAAGTTCAACAATATTTTAATATATGCGAAAAAGTAATATTCACATTATAAATCTGTTTCATATTTGTTAGATAAACAAATAAACAGTAGTCTGTTACTCTGTTGTTGTCAGTTTCACTGTTAGAAATTGGATAACAACAAATTCTAGATCGAAAACTTTTAAGAGAGTAATTGTTAGTCGTTACTCACTGGAACTAAGAATGCCATGAACATTTGTATGATCAATAAGTTTTATTTTATTTTGAAGTGAATAAACTTCGTATGTGTTACATATATACTAATGCTTAACCCTTATTTTGAATTCAGTTCTCTAGAAGGTTTTGAGATGTCGCGATGCGCCAAGTGTTAACCTCCACTATTTATCATGTGACTGGCATTAACTCACTAACTAAGAAACAAAGTCAATAATGAGATTCCACATTTTTACAACTTCCCAACGAGAATCAGCCTCATGATTTAGTGAACTATATACAACTATTCTCAGCTTTTTGTTCATTAAGCATATTGATGTGGACCTTTACTATTTTGTTTGTGTAGTGGAACCTAGCTATGTGGCATGTCCATTCGAGTTAGTCAGAACAACGACGTTAACTACCTCTAACAACAGTACCCCCACTTCATTACCCTTCCTTCCCTGAATGTTCAAAGCTATACAGCTATTATTTGGCTATGTAGATATTTTGGTTTAGTGCAACTATGCAAGCATCAACTTATCCTATTGATACATCACGTTAATTTAGGTGTATCAAATCAATAATGTAACATAGTATAAATATCACCAGTGTTTATCTTAAAGCACTACTATGTATTACCTGGCGCATCAAAATCAAATCATTTTTCTTCATCTTATTCAGTGTATTACTATAAATGGCTTTCAAATACATCCATTGTCTTTCAATTTATTCATCAAAATTTTGCGTAAGTGTTTTTTTTCAATATAACTAGTGCTTTTTGGGGCGAATCAAGTGGGACATTCCACCTATTTTGCTCCTCCAGTAACAGCCAAGAATTTATAATACTAATGACAGGATAATCTACAAATTTTAACAGGAAACAACTCCCTCCTAGTTGTCAAAAAAAAAAAAAAAACTCCCTCCTCGTTGGTAATGAGAATCAGAGTTTAAGTCGATAAATGGGCCGGGAATGGGCCACTTCCGCTAACACATGCGTGAAGTTTCGATAATGGAACGACTAAAATTGCTCCTAAAATAAAATCATAGTGTCTGCTTTCGTAGACCTATTCGGACAGATGCTTTGAAAGGACCGCTGCAAATAAATTGCGTGTGATTTTTAAGACTCGAGTATGGTATTGCTTGTATGTTTTCATTACAAAAACTGAAAAAGGGTTAGATATTTAATCGATCTCCAAGTCAAATAATTACTTGACGTAAAAAAATGAATATTCAGAGCATTTTTTGGAAATTGCTACTAAACTTTTATTTTCCTTTCTTTTTACGTTACTTCACAGTTTAGATTTTCACTTGCAGTGGAACTCTAAAGTACTGTCATGTTATGGGGCCAAAACTAGCATTAACAAAGAAATGTGGGCATAACACGAAAGATTTCTGAAACGTAGTACAAAGAGAAGGGACAGAAGAGAAACGGACGGATTGATATGGGCAAAAAAGATAAGCGAAACAAAAACCATTACTATCATTCTTCCTCGTTATTATTGTAGGGGACCCCTTGTTTGATAAATTAAGAGGCTTGTCCTAGTTTTGTATTTACCAAAACGATGTTATATTTTGAAGATAGTAATTAAAATGTTTTATACAGTACTGAAGAGTGAAGAGTGAAGAGTGAAAACCATAAACCAATACGTATATTAAACGAATAATCACATTGACACATTAGAAGGAAGGTTAATTAATTTTGGAACGCAGGTCAAGGGATTCTTTTTGGCCTCATCAGATGATATAATGATGCTCATATATATAAGTATTTATTGCATTATTTTGACCATTTTATGTCTTAGGAGACTGTGATTCTCCCGCACGCCCACAAAGTTTCTATTCCCCACAAATCTCAGACTTTTGAATCTCTTTTTTCTTAAACCATTTTTGAAATAATTCGTTAAAAACGTATTCGATTTTCCTTAGCTCTCATTTCATTTTTATGAAGATGGATAATCTTTTGAACATGTATAAAATGTTTCTAACTTAAATAAAAGAAAAACACTAGAGAAGATGATAGTTCTTTTAAAGCTATAAATTTGATGTTAGGAAAATTATAAATTTTCAAAAATTGAAACACACATTTTCTGAAGAATATTAATTTATATACTGTATTAAAAAGGATTTTTTTTTTATGTAAACATGATTTATTTTGAAATTTGAACTTCAGTGCATTCCCTAGAATTGAGGTATTCCATTTACCAAGATTCTCTTAATTTGCTCAAACTCAGTCTCTTCACCAATTAGTGAATAATTATGTTTAGCTAGAAGCCTAGTCCAGCTAGATTACATTATTAAGTAGAAATAATAATCCTATATGTTACGATTACTCAATTATGTAATTTAAGTTCGATGAAAATTACATTTAACATGCGAAAAGTAGAGAAACTGTTGACAAAGAAAAGTAAAACGAAACACAGTTTCGAGTTTTTATTGACCTGTTGACTTTTGTTTCGCTTATGACCAGAGAAACTGCTAACTCAGAGAAGAGGACCACCTCCGGGTAGAACGGTCAGGTGTTCGGGCAGGTTGGTCTATGAATATCGCATCGACGACGTCATCAACTTCACCTAAATAGCTCCTTTCGGGCAATGATAACGCCACGATCCCTCCCAAAGGTCTTATTGGGCCCCGGCCCACGAAGGTTATTATCCTTTTTCTCTTCTTTTTTGGACAACTCCATTTTATTTTATTTTTATCGCTTCGCCTTAAAATCTCTCCTTTCAGTACTTGATTCCTTCTTCACCATCCCACCGTTTCTCTCTCTCTCTCTCTCTCTCTCTATCAAATGGAAGAGAGAGAAGAGCTATCATGGATGAAAAATACGAGGCAGGAGTTTCTTCAAGGTGATATATGCATATCATGTATATATAATTATATATGTATACGTAATGTGAAGAGTTAGGGTTTCGTCAGTTCGAAGTCAGGTTTTCGTCATTGTTGATATCTCGATGATGTAGATCAGATATAAAAGGATCTAATAACCACTGAATTATATGATACTTAAATGTGAGAATCTATATCTATGTAAATCTTTTATCAAAAAAATCTATATCTATAGGTGCATATACTAGTCATCCACCACACACTTTCGCTACTTATCTATTATCATCATACGTTTTTTTGGCACATATGTATATAGTCATATATATATATATATGTATGATAGTATGGATTGTTTTTTTTTGGTTTAAAATGGTCGGGATTGTTGAAGTTAATATAGTATAATCCTCCAAAACAATATCGAGTTTGGAATCACATATACACATTTGTAAATTTAGAGTAATAAGTTCTTATTTTTGTGTCTGCAGGCGGGACCAAAAACATAGCCCTCATGATGCATATCGATTATTGGATCCGTTTTGCTGAGACACTAAGTTTCTCTTCCAAACTCCAATTTCATTGATACTTTGGTGCTATCCCATCTGAGCTTATATGTTTTTTTTTTTAGTTTTCTTTTCTATAAATTTTGTTTATTCCATTGGATTTTTTTTCTTGACCTTGTAAGGCCTTTTCTTGACCTTGTAAGACCCCGTCATTTTCTAAGTGTCTCAGTCTTCCACCGTTTTACAGATTTTATACTATTTTTCTTTTGTATAGAATCAGTTGGTATCTCTATCCTTAATTCGTCCGAGTCATCTTCTCCTACCTTGTCTATCCCTCTTGAGCTAATCCTTACATCTTTTTTTTGTTACTGGTGTATGGTTGACATAAATTCCAAATCTTGAATAAAAGTTTTAACCTTTTTTTCTTAGTTAACTTTTGTTGGTGTTGGTTATACTGTTGTAATAGAATTAAAGGAGGTGAAATAAAGTCTCGCTATCAAGGGGACTGGCAAAAGGCAATGAATAAGGAAACGGGCAAAAAGAATTATGCCTTTACTCTCTCTTTTAAGGCTTTGGACAGGAATTTACTTTTGTTTTATGTGTTGTGTTTGTTTGGGTCTGACTGACCCCCAAAGGCCAAAGCCAAACCAGAGAACTCTCCTATCAATTATTCCCTCAGAATCATTTATTGCTCTCTCTCTCTATATATCTCTATCTCTATATATCTCTATCTCTATCTAACTCGTGACTATGTTTCTCACTTTCTGGACTAATATATTTACCAATCGTCCAATCCCCATCATAGTTTTAGTTATGTACTTGTGTTCTTACAAATAATTTTCTCTAATGGTGGTGGTTGACGGATAGGCGAGACCTGAAGTTTTGTATATCAAAGGACGAGAAGTTTATGTTTTCAAGTTGTTCATTGAGATGAGTAGATGACCAAGA